TGCCCTTCCCTGTGTACCAATCACCTTGTGTGCCCTTCCCTGTGTACCGATCCCCTTGTGTACCCTACGCAGTGTACTGATCAACTTGTGTGCCCTTCCCTGTGTACCGATCACCTTGTGTGCCCTTCCCTGAACTACCGATCATCTTGTATGCCCTTCCCTGAACTACTGATCCCCGTGTGTGCCCTTCCCAGTCTACTGATCCCCTTGTGTGCCCTTCCCAGTTTACTGATCCCCTTGTGTGCCTTTCCAAGTGTACTGATCCCCTTGTGTGCCCTTCCAGTGTACGGGTCCCCTTGTGCGCCCTCCCCTGTGTGCGGGTCCCCTTGTGCGCCCTTCCCCGTGTGCGGGTCCCCTTGTGCCCCCTTCCCCGTGTGCGGGTCACCTTGTGCGCCCTTCCCCGTGTGCGGGTGCCCTTGTGCGCCCTTCCCCGTGTGCGGGTGCCCTTGTGCGCCCTTCCCTGTGTGCTGGTCGCCTTGTGCGCCCTTCCCCGTGTGCTGGTCGCCTTGTGCGCCCTTCCCCGTGTGCGGGTCCACTTGTGCGCTCTTCTCCGTGTGCGGGTCCCCTTGTGCGCCCTTCCCCGTGTACTGGTCGCCTTATGCGCCCTTCCCCGTGTGCAGGTCCCCTTGTGCGCCCTTCTCCGTGTGCAGGTCCCCTTGTGCGCCTTTCCCTTTGTACTGATCCCTCTATGCTTAAGTGTCCCTTTCGTCCCTTTCTATCTCTTAGATGGAGGTGGAGCAGCTGCTCTCTCTCTCTGGCTCAGCTCTGGCTCAAGCGATCAGTGCCCTGCTGGAAACTCCAGGCCTTTATGTATTCTCTGACATCCTGGAGCTTCCCAACGTCAGAGAGGTCAGTAAACCTGTGGAACACAGCATGCAGCAAAACAGGATTACACTGTATTGTGTATCTGTATGTTACTCTTTAGGTTATATTTAGTTTCTGTTATATTAAGTATTAAATTGTATTTTACTTAGGGGCTTTCTGCCACTTGTTGCACAGTAGTCCAGGATTTGTTGGAAGAAATTATGTACTGATTTTTTAGTTTGCTTTTGAACAGCTTTTTGAAATCTTCAACCTCCTCAAATGACGTAGATGGGGAAAACATGCACATCTCACTGAATAGATAACATATACATATTCTTACTGCTTATTTTTAAAGTTTGTATGTTTGTTGTTGAAATGGCCAACAAATTTAGTGCAACCTGTATTAGGGGTATGGACCCAGAATGGTATCACTTCTATGCTTGAGTGTGCCATACTCCCTGTGTAGCTTAGTGGCTAGGAATCTGTGCCAGTTTCTGGAAGGTCATGGATTTGAATCCCATCACTACAGAGTGATCATTTAACTGTTGGGGCCTTGAACTAGGCCCCTAATCCCAACTGCCCCAAGAGCACTGGATTCTGGCTGACCCTGCTCTCACTTTGGACAAAAGTGTCTCCTAAATAAATAAATCTAGAGTAAGTATAATTCAAATCCCTGGAGAAGCCCTACTTTGGTACCCTTGGTACTTAACCTGAATAGTTTTGGTAAATTATACAGCTGTATAAAGTGTGAGTCATCTTGGACAAAAGTGTAACTAAGCAACTGAATGTAAATAAGTGCATATACTCTGTTCATATGCTGATATAATATATATGCTAATGTATATGCGAAGCATAAGAGCCATCCGCCCACCCTCACTCCCGTCTGTGGTACGCGGCCTTACCGCTTCCCTTCTATTCGCTCATTTATTTCTTTGCTTTTAATAACATTGAGATTTTGAGTGTGTTCCAGTCCTGTAAAAGCGCTGCTCGGTGAAGCCGCCTGGAGGCAAACACATGCGAGGTGCCGCAGGAAATTGTAGCGCATCCCCCCCCCATCCCCACCCCCCACCCACAGTGTTTGCAGACTTTATTATTTGATTCTCGAACAGGAGGCCTTCTGTGCAGCGCCGCGGAAAGCTATTACTGCTGCGGCTCAGGTAATTAGGAGGGGGGCGCTGCATGTCAGCGCGATTGATGCCCAGAGTCCTTCTCAGATCTGATTTCTTTTTTGGACCTGCACAGTGCGGATTGTTTCTCTAGAGTCAAGGGTCTGTTGCCAGCTAGCCAACCCATATGCCAGTTTCATATTGATATATTTAAACGTCAGTTCTGATCACTTAATTACTTTGAATCTCCAAATGACACAACTCCCCCTGGCTGCCATAGAGAAACAGTGTCTGCCTTTCAATAGTTAATAGAAGTCAGATCACTGAGCTTCAGAATGTTGAACAGTTATACACTTTCAGTTTGCTTTCTTGCTACCATCCAAGACAATCTTAATTGTTTCCAACAAGAAATGCCACTTGAGGTGCCAAAGTAAATCTCCAGGACTGAAACCCAGTTAGGGACAGCTCTGCAGTAAGCTGTGCTGGGGATGATAGGGATCTGATCGGGGATTGCAGTCAGGATCCGTAACAGACCTTGCATAGAAAGTGGACCTCCAAGTATGACCCTTACGCCTTAAAAGCCGAATTGCATTTGGGAGCCATCTGGTGCTGTACTAAAACTGGTGACTGGTGACATAGATCTGAGCCTCTTTCTTTTTTTTCTTCTTCATCTTCTTTCTTCCCCTGTTTTTGGGTGACTCTTGCAATGAGGCTATCCATGCTAATAAGTGTGTCCTGTTGTGTCCCTGTGCAAGGCATTTAACTGCAGTTGCTCCCATAAAATCTCCATCCATATGAATAGGAGAGTTTGCATCCCAGGCGAGGAGGATAAACAATAAAATGCTGTATTGCATTCTACCTAATTTTATGACGGAGATTATGTGCTCTGAGCAAGCTCTCCAGAAAGACAGGCCAGCCCAAAATACTGAGTGTGACAGATGTAGGGCGGAATGGTGTCTCGGCAGGTAGCGCTGTTACCTCACACCTCCAGGGCTGGGGGTCTGGTTCCCCTCCCCGCTCTGTGTGTGTGTGTGTGTGTCTGTGTGCGCGTGTGCGTGCCTACGTGCATGTTTTTCCTGTGACCCAACTTGAATGGCTGATACTGAGTGATTGTGGTTGCTGTGATCGACTGGCATCCAGTCCAAACTGTTCCCTTGCCAATTGCTCTATGCTGCCCGGGGCAGGATGCAAACTTTGCCACAGCCGTGTTCTGTATTAATAGTTGGAAAATGGATGGATATAATAAATATATCAAAAAACAATGCATTTCAAAGGAGCCACTTATCCATGCTGTATTTTTTAATGATATGAATAGTTGTGTGTATATAAAGCTTACCTGAGGATGCCTTTGACATGCATGGTATTGGGGATATGTAGACAGATCCTAACAGACTGCTGTTTGTGTCCATCTCTGTCCTGTTATTCAGCTGGAGACAGGTCCTCACGCACCAGTGTATCAGTTACTCAACCTTTTTGCCTATGGGACATACTGCGACTACAAAGGTGACAAACGTTGGCGTACGTAATTAAGTGTGGGCCTCCACGCCTCCTTGACCGGCATGCGGCTCTCTGTTATGTGATTCACACACAGCCTCTTTTCTCAGAGAGAGCGGCGTCTCTCCCAGAGTTAACCCCCGCACAGAAAAACAAACTCCGCCACCTGTCAATCATCAGCCTGGCTTCCACCCTCAAGGTACTGGCTTGGTCTGCAGTGCCCTGTCTGGCTGGGAAGGCTGCCTTGTGCCCATTAGATGATTTCACCCCTGGTTTAATTAAATTCAGCTGCATTTAGATGATTCCTCTCAGCATATTTTGTAGCTGTATGTTTTACTTAATTTATAGCTGTTTTTTCTTTTAATGGTGTGCTGTGTGCTCTTGAAATGGTTTTTAAAAAAATGTCAGGTGACGTCATTTTTCTGTGATCAAACTTCTTGTTTAGTCTGCTTACTGGCTGAGGAAGAGAAGTAGAGGGCTGTAACCTCATTTGAAGTCAGGCTGGGAGATTTAAGGAGAATGCTGTACGCTAGGTCTAACTGGGTTGTAAAATGACCAGACCTCTCTGCAGTGTCCCGGAGACAGTGTGCTGTGTCCCTTCCCCCAGTGCCTGCCCTACTCACTGCTCCTGCAGCAGCTGGAGCTGAAGAACGTGCGGGAGCTGGAGGACCTGCTCATCGAAGCAGTCTACTGTGACATCATCCAGGGCAAGCTGGACCAGCGCAACCAGCAGGTGGAAGTAGACTGCAGCGTGGGCAGAGACCTGGGGCCCAATGAGCTGCCCAACATCGCCAACACGCTGCAGGAATGGTGAGCGGTTACTGGCGGCAGCCATCGGTGATCCATGGGCTTCCCATTAGGGCACATTGTAGAATGAGTGGGAAACAGACATTTCTTGATGCAAGGTTATGTCATTAAATAGGAAGATGAATGAAGGACTGAAAGTTGAGCTTGTACAAAAACAGGGCATACAGACTGGTGTTAAAGAATTCGCTCACAGATAGCCGATAATCTAAGAATAGTTTGAGTGGCTCAAAAAACTGAATAATAAACAAAGGTGAAATGAAAAGATAAACTACACTGCACCACTCCCTCTCCACAAAAGTCTCCCCCACACTAACATAGTCTTCATACATCATGTTCAGAACATGATTAAAAAAACTCTCATCCAATCACATTCATATATATGATGCATTACCCAATCGGAAAAGAGAAAGCTGGTGTGATCACCTGGTGTCCATCTGGTTATAGCCTGCAGGTATGGGAGATAAGTTTTTTCAGATGCAACTGACCTTGTTGAAGCAGTACAAAGTGGATTCTCAGCCTCCATTCTTAGGCCTAGAGACCCCGCCTGGTCAGAATTTGACCCAGACTCAAGGCTGTACAATTATAGACTAGGATAAGCAATACAGAAGAGCATGAGAAAGGGCTGCAAAGACCCTTCACACACGTCTGTGGTCTGGGCCCAAGTCACACCCTCTAACCTATAGCCTAATTATACTGAATAATGCTTCATCACAAAGTAAGTCTAATCATTAATAAATCCCCAAATCATAATTGACTGGTCTTCAGATTACTGATATGAAGTATAAGATTTATCACTGGGGGCTAGTCTAGGTTACTGCCCACATGTAGCAGTTATTCTTAGTCTGTGAACACGATTTATCGGGATGTGAAGAAAGCTTGTCAAAGCCCCCAATTTTCTCAGTTTGTTAGATTTTATTTATTGAAATGGTTTTGGTGTGGTACGGTGGTTAGATAGATAGATCTTTATTGTCACTATTACAGAAATAGTGAAAAACAGTTTAGCAGCTCTCTGTTTAGCAGCATAGAAGTAATAAATAGCAGCATAAAGTTATAAATAAGAGAATAAAGAGTGGTTAGCACTGTTGCCTCACACCTGTGGGACCAGGGTCTGAGTCTCGTCTGGTGTGTGGAGTTTGCATGTTCCCCTCTGCGTTCACTGGTTACCCCCACCAAAAAAAACCTGCTAAGGTGACTTGGAGTTAGTTGGCACTCCATTCTGGGTTGTTCGTTGCCTTTTGCCTATAGCTTCCAGGATAGGCTCTGTACCCCTACGACCCTGCATAGGACAAGCGATTATAGAGTTATGGAATGCCTGTTGCGGTGTTTCCAGTTGGCGAGGTCACCTGTGATGCTGTGAGGGGTTTCACCTGCCAGCCTCTGTATTGTTCTCTTTCTCACTCAGGTGTGCAGGCTGTGAGGCTGTGCTGTGTGGGATTGAAGAGCAAGTGTCCAGAGCCAATCAGTACAGAGAAAGTCAGCTGAAGGTCAAAGTGCAGGTGGAGACAGAGGTGTGTCCTTCCCCGTGGGGAGCCTTATATACCACAGAGGCTGCAACCTCTTCCTCATCCTTGTTCTCTCTCTTCATCCTCACTCTCCCTTACTCTTCTTGGGGACCCTCATATGCTAATCTTGTCTTGGTTCCAGCCAGTCATCTAATTGGATTTAATTGAACTGTTCACCATGGTGTTGCATATCATTGCTTGCTGTTGATATAAAGGCATAATTGAGTCTATATGGTTTGTTGTTTCTGTATTTGATGATTGTATTATTACCTAATGGTTTTTTGTTTGTTAGTTTGAGGGCAAGTAACAGAACTTCATAACAACTGTGTTATTTTTGTATAACAAGACCAATGGTATTTAGCAGCTGCCCAATGAGGTGTACAGTAGTACCTCGGTTCTCAAACTCACTAGAACTCGAATTTCTTAAAAGTCAACCAAACCAGTTTGACCTAGAACTCGATCTGAATATCAGAAGTCTTACCGTGAACGCTTACCTAATATAAATTGTACGCGCCAGGAAATGAGTCATACTACAATGCAATTCTTACTTGAATGCCTTCTTCACAGACTGGACGATTAACCAAATAAAGTAGCGCAACATTACAGTAACTAACAATAAATAAACCACTAACTTATGTGTACTATTAGAGCATTTATGTCATTTATTTAAACTTTATTTTACCAGTTAAATTAACTGAAAACCAGTTCTCATTGCTATACGTGATATTCGGGAGAAATAGCAGATTACGCATCGTAACTGCCTGGGATACAAACGTCATGCGTGTAACTAAACTCTTCAGCCAATAAGGGTAAAGGTGTGTCATCACGGAGGCGGTTCCAGTTTGTGCAGCTGGGTGAGAGGTCGCAATGCATCTAACCGTAATGCATTGCGTCAGGATCAGAATGCGTTGCTTTAAGCCAGCGCTGTAAGCAAGTCGAACGCACCCAATGACCGGACTGGGGAAACAAACTGAAACGTGGACTTAATACAGAGGACTAATGACAACAACCAGAAACAGCTAATCACATGGGGATCGCACACGAGGTTAACGAGGGGGCGTGGCACACGGAAGGAGCGGACAATCGGGCCAGGACTGGGGTAATGTTGGGATAAGATCTTTATCGTTTTTGAAGCCATTAAGAAAAAAATGCTCTTGTTTTATCCTGTTCATTTTGTGTTTAAATGCTATAAAAAAAAAAACATATTTAGGTGTAATTTTGGGGGGCCGGGAACCAATGCTTACTGGTTTTCCAATATTTTTTATGGGAAAAATTCGATCAGAAATCGAACTTTTTAGGATTCGATCCGGAGTCCAGAACGGATTAAGTTCGAGAACCGAGGTACCACTGTACATCTGTTTAGATGAAATAGTTGGCTATTATATATTATCCATATGAATGTTTTTTTAGTAGATTCAAATAACATTTGTATCATTGTCACGGCTGCTGTTCTCTTTCACCCAGGTCTCAAACCTCCAAAAAACACTCAAGGCTAGCTCCGCCTCCCCATCGTCAGGCCCCTCCCCTGCTGGGGCAGCATCCAATCAGGATGCAGACCAACCCACTGAGCCACGTGACCCCGCATCCTCACAGGAGCCACGGCAACCAGGAAAAAAGAGCTCTAAAGTCAAGGGGTAAGTAGTTAAGCATCACATTAAGAGCAAATGAAACCCTTTCATTTGACCAGTATTTAACCTCCATTCATAGCAGCATTACCACTGATGGTAATACTTTTTTACTCAGTTTGCCCTGTTTGAATATATTTTATATGAATGTCACCTATTTTATGTCAATTTAGTAATTCTGAGAACATTAAGGAGGAAATTTCACTGACTGAAAATAGTTCTGTTACTACCAGCAAAATATAATATACAGTAACCTATTCACATTGTGCATTTGATGTTCATGGTATAGCTTATTCACGAGTTAGCTGTGATCAATTAAACGAGAATGCAGAAACTTGCAGAAATCCAATAACGAAAATTATTCAGATCACATAAAATCATGTAAAATATAAATATAAGAAAAAAAAATATTTCTTAATGTAAGTGTGTACTCTATCTTTAATATTAGAGTCGTGACTTGGTTGATCTTTGTCTCATTGACCAGCCTCACTCACATTAGCCATTTTTGCAACCGTGGAATCTCACGTTTCTAGCAGTAACTTTTAAACTTTTCAGCACTGTTAATTTTGCATTTTTAATGAGTCCAAAATGTAGTGCTCCCAGTGCATACAGTAGTAACTTTGTATATACAGGGACATAATTTAGATGGGTTTTATAATTGTATAAAAAGATAGAAATGACAAAGTACAGTACTGTTTATTTAGAAATTGGTAATAAATAGGTTTTTATGTTATGGCAGACAGTTATGGGTTGAGATTAGGGATGCCCAAGTATTATTTGTGAATTTTCACGTTCACAGGTATCTTCCACCCCAAACCCTGGAGTGTTACGGGATACTTGTGCGTATGTTTCAGTTAGCACGTTTCCCATGCTAATATGATTCATATGTCATCTACAGACTCCGTGGAAGTGGGAAGATCTGGTCAAAGTCAAACTAAAGATGGAAACGCTGAGTGGTGGATGAAGCAGCACTCCACCACGCAGGCGTACAGCTTTACAGACAGAGAGGCTGACCGACGGGCTGATGGTGTACATAAGGGGGTCCCATTAACACATAGTGTTAGAGTTGGTCCTGTACGGACCTGTACAGACATGTATAGAGAGGGGCTGCGTGTGCGTGTGTCTGTCTGTATGTATGTCTGCGTGTCTCAGGCCAATCCCCAGGCAGCGAGTCCTGGCCCAACGTTGCGTGTGTGATATTTTAATTTTTATTTTCTCAGCGAGTCATGAGGAATATCGAATTGTGAAATGTTGACAATAAATAGTTCCTTGAACCTCAGCGCTTCGCAGTGTGTCGTGCTTTGTGTCTGCCCCCCTCCCCCACATCCCTTTGGCTGCCGGCCTGTCACGTCCTTGACCTTGGCCAGCAAGCGCACCTGTTTGATTTGGGGCCAGTAATTAAGTGGCCTGTATCTAGGATTAAAATCACAATTGTTAAGTCAGTGAATAATCGCTTCCTCACCAACAATATGTGGTTTGATCAGCACCTCTCCATAAAAAGCTCTCCCCCAGCATCAATTAGCTGTTACCTCCCTCTTCATTTTCTTTGTCGAGCCCATCCTGTCCATGTCTAACTACCTCTTTCCCAGTGATAATGCTAGCAATTTAGTCCTCTTGCTCCCAATTGGATGGTGAGGGGGGTTACATGGAAAGAAGCTGATTTTCTGTCCTCGCTGCCTTCGTATGTGGTGCAGGGAGGCGGTAATTCCAGCCAGCGTGATTCACTTGCTGCTTCACAGCTTCTCCTCAGAGCAGATGGGTGCCATGAACTCCTCGCGTGTTTTGCGTCTTGCTCGTGTGGGTTCCCACCTCGGCGCGAAAATAAATGCCAGGCACAACGTGAGTCTTAAAACACAGACTGGATTTTATTGTCTCCTTGGCCATCTTACCGCGCCTTCCCAGCATTCACGGCACGCCATATGACACAGGTTGCACTGGATACCACGGCAACACTTACACTCGGATTGATTAACTGGTTATAATTGTCAAAACCCTTTAGCTGTAGATTACTCTCTGGGGATTGTGGGTACATCTCATACTGCTACAGAGTATCCCACGGTACGGCACAGGGGGCCGCTACTGAATAATGCATTACTAGAGGTAAACGATGTCTCTGTCTGAGAGGTTGGCGGTTTCGCCCTGCGCGATCGGGAGTCAGCTGAATTTTTTGTAGATTCAACGAGCTACACTGGTATACACAACAGCATATCCTAACAGTGAAGCTACAACATGGCGCACAACAGAACCACGTGAAACGGGGGTGAGGGGAGAGGCTACACACATGGGTCTCATGGGGGGTATAAAGGGCTAGATATCTGAAATTACATTTCACGGCTGAAAAAGTCACACCTTGAACGTCTTGTGTCCAGTAGAAATAGGATCAACAGTTGCGTTCAGAGGTTCACCACGGGAATCCTGGAGGAGAAGAGAAGGAAATGAAATTGCATCGTTTGATTTAATACCTGGAAATGCCTCGCAGTTATTACAGAGATCTAAGAACTTTCTCGATGGGTGACAGAGAGCTGTTCTCCAGGTTTGCGAGTGCGATGTTTCTGCTCCTCAAGGCGAACCGGAACGTGCTGCTTTACGAGTCACGGAGCTGAAGGTGCCGCTGGAAAAAGTGCCGCACTCACCGGCTGTCAGTCTCTCACCTCTCCCTGTCACCAAAGGATGGGATGCTGTGCAGTGTCTGCCTGCTGTCCTCGGGAGTGAGGGATCGCGGGAGGGCCAGCGAAAGCGGGGGCGCCACCCCCCGGGACAGTGGGGGAGGGGTCTGCGAGCAGCTGCGGTCGTAGCTGGGGAGATGACAGAAAAGCGTACCATGTAACTCTGCCAGGAAGGGTACGGTACAATACGGTACACGGATACGGAGACCCTGTTAAATAACACTCCCATAAGCCATGTATCACTTAGGAAAGTACTTTTCCGGAAAGGCACCATATCACGAGCTCAAATGTACAGCCTTTCATAGAGTATCATGGCAATCTACAGTTATTTATAACATTTAGAATAACATGTATAAACATTTACATACTACTAAAATGTGCAACAGCTTGATGCCATGCTTGTGAATGACCCGTGAAATGCTGTTCAGCCAAAGATGTACATCTCAAACAATCGAGGGCAGGTGGTGTGTCGCAGAAGGTCAGCGCTAGGTGCACTGCGCTTGCTATGAAGCTACACAGAGTGCAGGCTGTATTTTCAGTGCTGATACAACGAGAGGGTAATTGCATAAACATTGACAGACTGGCAAGCTGCTTAATACAGAGGGTCTGTGCAGCGACAGACAAATGGTGTTTGCTTAGGCACAGCCAAAGCCTAGGCCATAACGCTCTCTGCATCTGAGTAAAGTCTGATACAGTGTCGATACAGAGACTGTGGCTCCCAACTGGTAGAATGTCGAGTTCTTACCAGAGTTTTGCAGTTATGATGACCGCAGTCAGAATTAAGAGCGAGGAGATGGTCACAGTGACGTAAAACTGTGGATCAACTGCAAGAGAGTAACAGAAACGAACAAAAATGACTCAAAAGCCATAAAGCATCAGAGGGGTAATTTCCAGGGGAAGGTCTCACTGGGGCCACCCAGCCTGCTGACCTACCTTCCTCCACCCCACTGCCCAGCTCCCCCTGTCCCTCCTCGTGCCCCACATCCTCCCTCTCGCCCTGTAGGAGCTGCTGCGTTTGTGTGGTCGGTGGGCTCTGATGCAGCTCCCAAGCCTCTGTCGCCGGCCGATGGCCGCTTGTCTCCTGGGCTGAGGGGTAATGTGGTGTCTCATCCTCAAAGGTGTGGGTCGGTCCCCAGATGACCGCCCAGAGTGGCGTGGGTGTGGCTTGACTGGTGATGGACAGATGAGGCGAGAACGGGCCTATCTGCATCTCCTCCATCTGCTCCGCGTCGCCTTCTCTCTTTTCCTCCTTCCTCTCACCCCCCTCACACGACACATGGCGTGTCGACGCGACCAGGAGGCAACAGAGGGCGGCCAGACGTGTAACAGGAGAGCTGGAGCTGAGATGGAGGAAGAGAAGGGTTAATAATTTGAAGTGCACACACACACATGCCACCCAGAACCGACACCACACTAAGTCCAACAGCTCCTTCAACTTGCCAGTCTTTCGAGTCTCTCTCACGCCGTCTTACCATCTCTCCATTGCTTCGGCTGCTTACAGAACCGCTGCTTCACTAATCATCTTCCTTAAACGAGACAGAGGGAGGGCGCCAGGGCTTTCTGGACGATGACAGATTTCAAAAACATAAACAGTCTTGCTATAGTAAAGAAATTTGCGCGCAAGAGCTCGAAGCACGGCACAGGACGAACTCACTTGGAAATTACAGCGAAGTGAACGCACATGCACCCGTGATCACATCTGGAAATTAAATGATTACCGTGGGAAACACACACCAGGCATCAGGCAGGCTTATGTCTTTTTAGATTTCCTCACACGTGAAGAGGGGCGTATACCCCCCACATACACACACACACACACACACACACACACACACAGAATGAGATCAGGGAACATGCCTACCTCTCAGTGCAAAAGGAGGGAGTGAGGGAAAGAGGCAGAGAGAGAGGGAAAAAGCATTGGTTGCCTTAGCGACAGAGACATGTAGAGACCAAGGGAGAGAGAGTGAGGGAGACAGTGTGGGTGAGATTTAAATGCTAATTATGCTTTTTAACAGGTTCAATTAGATGGACAGAGAAGGAAGGAAAGAACGGAATGGATTCGAAGACAGAAATAGCGAGAAGCTAAGAAGAGCTTATTAATATTCTAATTTGGGGGAGGGGTGAAGGACAATTAAATTATTTTTAGCAGAACAGAAGAGTGGGTGAGATGATCAATATACATTAATTTACCTCGCTGAAAGGCTGAACCGCACGGAGGTGAAAGAGATGAATGAACAGATATTTATAGACAGGCATGATACGAATAATAAACAGCCAAGGCAGAAGGTCAAAATTTGGCAGATTTATTTCAGACTTGCAAGAACAACATTTGCATATGCAAAAACGGGTAATTTGGTCTCTCTGCACCTCTCCCCTCCCTCGATCTGTCACACTGGTTTCTCTCTCCATCTTTGCGCCACTCAGATGCACCGTATTTTCAGCCAGGCAGCACCGTGATCGATCGTCCTGTCACTGAAGAACACAGCGGACCCATGAAGAGCTGGGCTCCTGGCCGGTTGCAGGTGCATCGTGGGAAACGTAGTCTACCTCACTTTCACCTGCCAGGAAGAGGTGTGTCACTCATTTTACTGCACGGGTAATTAGAGAGGTCTGTAGTGTGGGAGGCAGAGCATGAGTCTGTCTTACCATCACTATCTTCCTCTGTGTCTGTACCAGACTCCTCCAGAGAGGCTTCCAGCTGTGAGTTTCGCTTTGCGGTGACGTCACCTCTGTTAAATTGACAAAACACGGAGCTCACTTCAGACAGCATTGCTTAAGTGAGTATCCATGGGAAATACCAAATGTTAATCACACTAAATTGCTTTGTATTATGAAATGCCTGAAAGCTTTAGCAACATCCAGTATGTATTAAAGAATGATTATACTTACAAACTTACAGATATCTAAATTATATCCTCAGTGCAAAACAAAATATTTAAAATTACTAAGATAAAAATTAACTGTTTTCTCAATGTCATACAAGTTTCTCCTGCAATTAAAAGACATGCAGTTAGGCTAATTCAGTGTGTGTGTGTGTGTGTGTGTGTGTGTGTGTGCCTGTGCATGCATAGTTATTACATTGTGGGGACCAGATTTCCCCAAAAATGTTTCATAAAAACATGTTTTTACCTTATGGGAACCTCAATTGTATTAAAATGTGTTAATGTAATCAAACAACAAAGATGCCAAAAGTCTTGTATTTTGTTTGGTTACTTGTGGTTAACGATAGGGCTGGGTAGGGCTTAGTGTCATCAGAGTTAACGTTAGGGTTAAGCCCATAGAAATGAGAGTCCCCATAAAGATATGAACACATGGACCGTGCGTACGCACATATGTATGTGTGTGTGTGTGCACCCTGTAACTATCATTGTGCCCCTGTTGCCTGGGATGGGATCCAGCACCCCTCCCCACTATGACCCTGAGCAGAGTAAGCAGGTTTAGGATGGATGGATGGACGGGCGGCAAATAGTTGTGTTTTGGGGGGAGATACGTCACCTCTGCTTGCCATTGGCTGGAAGCTGCTCCCAGACTGTCAGGGCACGACCTCCCGTAACCCAGCGGTGACACCCGCTTGCAGTTAACCATCCTGTGAAGCACAGGATTCTGGGATATTCCGGACACGTCAGTGACACCAGGTACTTGCACAGAGGAAGGGAAAATACTGAAAGAAAAAGGCAGAATCTTACTGCATATATTCAACAGAGCACATGTGGCTTGTAATCACTAAAATGGTTACAGTTAATGGATAGCGATTAAATTGTAGTCAATGTTTAAGTCATAAGTTATCACACTAACAGTTGAGGGTACTCTCTCCAGTTGCAAGATCAAAGCAGGAGCCAATCAGGACTCCCCCTGTCTGACTGACACAGTCCGTCACCCCAGCGACGCTGCTGTGATTTGCCACTTTGGACACTGAGCCTGTGGGGACAGACAAACAGCAAAGGGACAATATCAAGGGACAGTTAGGCGGGTTCATGCGTTTCCTTGCCCCAGACCTGCTTATAGCATATAATATGAGATGGTTCTGCCTACACTGACCTCCCTGTATCCTCTTCCTTTAACCACCTCTGCCAGCTGGTCTAAAAAGCGGCCGAAAAGTGTGCTGCCGCCATTCTGGGCAAATCCAAACCCTCCTGAGATTCTCCGTCGTTACATATGGCTCCTCCCCAACCTCTCCCTCAGAGTCCCTTCTCATCAAGCTGTCTTGATCCCGCCTCCCAGGGCTGCACCCGGTCCGTATCCCTCCCAGTCCTCCTCACCGCCCTCCTTCTCTCTGTATCAATCTGCCCGACACAGAACGACACTGATCCCCACCCCCACCTCCCCATGCCACATCCTTTATGTGCCGCTGAACACCTCAGCGCAGGACAGTCAGTCAGAGGCCACGGCACCCCCACTCCTCTGACGCTTGCTGAGAGCCGCCCCCACCCATGCTGGGCGAGCCGAGCACAGCCGTGAGAGCTGCAAAGTTCCTTTGACAGGGACAGAAAACTCACTTAGTCACCATTCCTGGGATCCCAGCAATGTGGCTTAACACTTGCTCATCACTCCCTGAACAAGACATTACTAACATTCTCTCAGTCTTTTTAGATTTCTTTGTGCAATTCTTAAGAACAGGGCTGTAAGTATGTGTCGACCTACTCATCTGGAGGATCGGGTCTTATTTCATCGATGTTTTAAGGCTTTGGAGACAGTGGAGAACTAAAAATTGGCAGAATTATTCTGCTGACACTTAGCAGGGTCGGTATGTTACCAGTTATTAAAACAGCACCACCCCCAACCTGTCCTCCAGTTTAGAATCTTCAAGCTGGCTCTCCCGTTGGCAAGGAACACGCGGTCTCCACGGGGACTCAGGGTCAGCTGACTGACCGTGGCCCCGTTCTGACGACCGCAACCAGTCACGGCGGAGCTCCACTGATGCAGCATCCGCAATGGGGCGGCCCTGGAGCACTGTGCCTCCCACACGGACACGCCCCCTTCGGCCGAGCCACTGAAGAGCAGAGGACCGTGGGACTGTGGAGGAATTCAGAATACGGCCATGATTCTCGGCGCCACTAGGGCAGCCTAAATTCTAAATCTGAAAGGCTATGAGCTCGGCGGCACATGGAAACCTGCCTGCAGCGAGGTCACGCTGTCCTCGTGCGCCTTGATCGACTGACAATTTTCCATGGTGTCCCAGCTCCAAACCTCCACCTTGCCACCATCTAGGAATCGAGAGATTTCACAGCATTAGCACACAGTGAGAGAGAGCATACCAGAAAGGGGTGCTTACATACTCACACATCCCCCTCCCCCCCACACCCACCTGATCCTGTGACAATGAGTCCTTCTCCGTCGGGGACAAAACACAGAGCAGAAATGGCATTGAACGTGTAGATGGACTTGACACAGCAGCCTAAAAATAAAAATCAGGACTTGTAATGATTGTCTGCTCACCAAACTGACATGATACTGGCGTGACCCAAATGGAACACATTTCGCTGGAGGCCTTTGGCAGAGAACCTACCAGAACTGAGGGCCCAGATTTTGATGGTGCAGTCCACAGAACCACTGAGCACAAACTGCTCTCTCTCATTTAGTGACAAAGATTTTGCTGGGGGGGGGGGGGGGGGGGGGGGGGGGGGGGGGGGGGGGGGAGAGAGAGAGAGAGAGAGAGAGAGAGAGAGGGGAGAAAGTGAGTGAGTGGAGGGGGCATCACTCATCATGCTACTCCAAATTCACATAATCAATCAAGTCCTTTGTCCCTGTTTCTGTTATTACCCATGTTGAGACCTAAAGTTCCAAGACATGTGTGTCATCATGGTAATGTGTCGTTACACACGTGACCCTCGAGACCTGACACATGACCGACTCTGCACCAGCAGCTGACCAATCAGGACATGTCCGAATGCGAGACCTGAGGCAGCAGCCTTCAGGTTACAAATGTGCCCTAAACTACTGGCACACGGTGGGCCGCAGGTGGGAAATACAGCTCCGCTTATGGTACAGTATGAATCACCAGAGACCCATCATCCCCCACCGTGATGAGTCAGGCCCAACACGGGTGTTGGCTTCCAGAACCTACTTCCAAACCTGATTTCAGCTGGAAGTTAAACTCGACTGTAAGACGCAGTCTGAGTACAGGTACTGTGATTGTTTGTTACCTAGCCTCCTGCAGTATTCAGGGAGGGGTGCCAAAAGACCAGTGATGCCCCCACTGTGCCCCCCAAGGTTCCGCTGCTCGCTTGCTGTGGGGACATGCCACACCTTTACTGTTGTGTCACGGCTGAGTCAGAGAGAAAGAGAACACGTGGAAAGTTACCAAAAAGGCACAGTTCCATCTTGATCACTAAGAGACGGCAAATCACTGGGTACCTGCCAGAGATCACCAGGTTATCCACGGCAACGACACAGGTGACGATGTCGCTGTGACCCTCCAGCAACCGTAACCGAAACCTCGCCCCTTCCCAGGATGCCCTGAGACAATTGTGTTTAGGGTCTGGAACAAAAAGAATGAGTTAAAATAGAAAATAATATGCTGATTGTACTTAATCAATACTATTTGGTTACTAAGTTTGGGTTTCTGCAGGAGGCAGTTCTGGTGGTTTTTGGTGATGACATTTTACTCAAATAATCTCTCTACTGAAAATAAATAAGAGCAGTATGTTAGAAGCGTGTTACCTTCTTGAGGTTCACTAGTGCCTGTTTGGGACTCGGCAGGGTACCCTGGCGCCACTTCTCGCCTCTGACTAGGAACTCTATCACTCGATTCCCTTGGTACTTTGGCAGGGGGGCTCTGTGACACGACGACCTCCAAGCTGTCCTCGCTACGCACAGAGAAATACACACAGGAGAAGGATGTTATGCACTGAACAGTTGCTCGCCTTTCCAGTGCTAACAACACCGTGAGGGACTGCCGAGTGACACCCAGCCACTTCTTTTGGTTCATATTCCTCTCCTCAGCATTAGCATTCATGCCAGACACATCAACTGTGCCTTGTATATTTTATTGAACAAAAGAAGTATCAAGATCCTGCAAGACGCATCACCCCGCTTTGTCATTCCTCCCGAGACAAAGAGCATGGCACATACTCAGCAATAACTATCACTTTCAGTAATTTGTGTTGTGATTAGGCAACACTGAATTTAGCTCCTTAAATGACAATACACTGATTGAAAGCCTTTTGTGGTAATCTGTCTCAGTGTCTCTCCAGATCTCTCCACGCAAAACAGACATTTTAAAAGACGTGTGGCTGAATGCTTTGCTAGTATTGCCCATATGCTGAATATTAAATCTGTTTCTGTACTTCTTTATGGCCCTGCTTTCCTATTGTGATCTCACTCTCTTACACTTGTCTTTTCATTCTTTCCTTCTCATCTCCCACAGTTCCTTGGCCTTGCTGGGGGGCAGAAAGCTGCAGCAGCAACTCAGCCAATCTGGAACGAAGCTCCACCTTCCTTGAGATCTGGGAGGGGGGGCAAGAGGAGGGAGAGCAAATATTAATTCCAATACACCCACTGTAACTGTTGCTACTACTTTGTAACACGTGGCTCTATAATCAGTTTTGTACGGCAATGATGATTAAGGTCATAATAATGTAACACAATAACAGACACCACCGGGAGCAATTTTGTGAGTGAAACTCTTTCTATGTAGCTACTGCTCTGAAGGGCAGGGCAACAGTATGATTCCTTACAATTCACTTTTCAGAAGCACACCAACCTTTGTACAAATGTTGTTCATTCAAACCTCAAACTTTGAAATATATGTAGAATAATTTGACTTTTGAGCCATTTTAAAATGCACTCAATCAGAACCGTTATCCATCCACCCAAGTCTTAACTGCATATCCAGGTGAAGGAGGGAATTTAGGAAATACCAGATCTCAGGGTAGCGATAGCCAGCTGAACTTTCACTGGCATCAAAATGCATGTAGATATTATGATGTGGTTTAAATAAGTGGCTCTTATTCTGCCAGGTGTCCTAATAAAGCCACATGCAGTCAATATATATCAGCATCAAAGCGTCTTTGTTGTTACAATTTATGGAAAACACTACTATTTCAAATAAAATCACCGGATCTGATTTTCATAACGTGTCAGAAAAATGCGTGAACTTGTTTAGTTAATTTATATAAAAGAGATACAGTATTATTTATTATGACTAACGATTTTAATACATTCTCCGTAAAACAAACACCAATTTCGTATCAACATACAACATCGTCATAAGGGTTTCAAACGCACACAATAAAATGCAACTGTGCAAGGTTTTTGTGTACCTTCTCTCTTTCCTCTTGAGTGAGGAATGGTTTAATCTCCAGATTCTCAATTTGCCTTAACTTCTTGTGCAGTTTCCTCACTTCCCCCATCGTGCTACCTCTATTTTCTTACTATTTATTCTGTCTGCAAGGAATCAACTTTCCCTGTGTCCCAGTCGGTACCTTTCTGCGGAGCTGATCGTATCATGTTTCTTTGATGCATGAAGTCATTCAGCAAGATTCAGCGATTGCTGGTTTATCGTTGCATTTTGCTCCTCTGCTGTCTGAACACACTTCCCGGGACGTGTCATTATTGACAATAATAACGCCCACAGGCCGGAAGTATAAGTTACCAATTTGACCTCCTGTACCGGAAATCGCTCCATTTTCTGCGTTCGATAGACGACGTAACGGCGCGTTTACATTGAAAATGGTTGTGAAATATGGGGACTGGCGATAACGTTAACCAACATGTGTATAATATTTCCAAAGAATCACCTTTTTCCTCTGCATATGATTTAATTGCGCACTGTCTAGTTGCTACAAATTATTTTGCCAAAAACAGGATAATTTATAGAAATCACGATGTACTAGGTAATATGCCACTACACGTACCACAAACCTAAAGACCCTCCTTAAAATGACGAAATTCCACTGTTCGAGGTCAGATTTTTCCAAAAATAGGACACAAAGCACAATCTAACGATATATAACACATGTGAAACACTGGTAACCTAAAACGTAAGGCAATGTGTTCTTGCAAGAAATACTTTATCCCCCCTCTTCTTCCCCTTTATAATGCAGCGTCCTTCTTCGCGGAGACCTTACTCCCCGGAAGTTACATATGCAGTATCGGAGCTGCCTTTGTTTTTTTTCTTGACCGTATTCGCCGGAAGTGTGGCGCAAATGAGTTGGGCAGCCCAGCAAGGAGGAAAAAAATAGAAAAAAACCGAAAGAGGAAAAAAAAACTCGGCGAATTTGTGGGTTCGGGTGGATTTGGACTGAGTTTCCGAACTGTCCCGGCCCGAGGGAGTCCCGGGGAGGGGAAAAGAGTCGCCAGTACCGGTAATTATCTCCAATTTCCTTCTTGATTGTTAATTATTGTCTGTTAATTTTTAGCGAGTCGTGCGAGCCGCTTCTCCTCGCTGTCTCGACAGCCGGAAGTCTGCGTGAGGCTGCCTCGCGCTGGGGCTTCGGCGTTGACAGTTTTTTTCTCCCCTCTTCTTCTTTTTTTTTTAATCCTCGATTTTTTTTTTTATTTTCACAGCGACGAAGAACGAGAGAGCGAGGGAGACATAGATAATGTTTTCAAGGCACACCTCTTTCAGACTAAATACTCGTTTGTAGCTAGCTAAAGAGCTGTCTAGCTATGATGAAAATCCTTCTTTCTTTGGCAATGTTCACTTGTAAACAAATTTTAAAAATACTTATTTTAATTCTGTCTTCCTGCGTGGAACATATATTTGACAGTTGTTCGGCGCTTCCGATTCACAAAAACTTCGAACATGCAATTCCCCCCTATTTTATGTGGAAAATATATATTACCGAGCTAATTTCGAGCTAACTATTATTCGGTACACTTTATTAATTACCAAGCATCTAATCGCAGTCAATTGTCTGCATTACAGTTAGCAAAATATTAGCGCATGCTAATTTTCTATCGTGCAGATCTCCAGAAAGTGGAAACTGCATCGATACATTTAATAATAATAATATTTTATTGAGGCAAACAATTCATACATCAGCTAGCAGTGCTTTATAATTAATAGAGAACAATTCAGCGTAAGTTGTGTCCCGTACGGCGCCAACCCCAGCGGAAAGAAGTAATTGCTCAACTCTTAGGGGAATTTATTAGGGAAATGCTTTCGGTGATGTACTAGATGTATGCACATTCATGTAACGTTTGGAGTATGTTTGATCTTAACTATATGCACGGTGGTCTAGGAAGTAAGTCCACCAGACCGTATTTTTCTTTTTTGCTGTAAAAAAAAAGATTTCTTTGCCTCTTTTCTATTTGCTTTAAGCTTGGGTTGTTGAGAACGGCTAAGTTAATGTCACATTTAATAATATTTTGTTGTTACTGATGATTGTAGGAATGATGGAAGATTCCCATTTTAACTCCTCGTACTTCTGGTCTCCAGTTCCAACAGTGCAAGGACAGGTAAGGTTATCATTCATACTGAAATTAATTAGCCACTATAAACCAAAATAAGGTAGAAAATATGAGGTCAGCACCTTCGTGTCCTGCAGGTTTTGGAATCAAGTTTAATTACCCTGTCACTTGAACCTGAAGGAGAAGTCATCCATTATCCAAATTATTCATTTAAAAAAACAAAAAAAACAATTGAGAGCTAAAATGCTGCAAAATTCAACATGTCCTATTGGTCTGGAGGACGAGAGTTACATATTGACATTAAACTAATCAATATTGATTTAATCAATTACACTTTTTAGAGATAAAGAACTGTTAAGGTTCATCGCATAAATCATTTTTACATTTTCTTCCTCAGTCCTGGCAGTCTTGGGTCATTGCCGTCTCTGTTTTGTTTTATTTTTTATTGTCTTTGACTTCTTTGAACTCACTTCTCTTCCCCCCTCCACCAGATCGAAAACGCCATGTTTCTGAACAAGATGAAAGAGCAGCTGGGCCCTGACAAGAACCCCTCTTTCCCTCACCCCTCCCACTACCCCACCACTGTGCTCACTGTGCCAGGCTCAGTCACTATGGACACAGCAGGGCGGACACCTAAGCAGGAGGGAGGAGGTGGCACCTCACTGGCAGTCAGTGGCCACCTCCACCCTCCGCATACCACCCAGAACATCACCGTGTTGCCAATGCCCTCTTCCGGTATCATGGCGGCAGGTACGCCCTGGTCTCCAGGGGTGATGCTCACCATTGTCTCTTCCCAGTGGTTTCCCATTCTCCCATCTCACTCAGCATCTTTGAGATCTAGTATTTTTTTATCATCTATATTTAGGCGTCTAGGATATTGAAAAACAACACCTCAAATATTTTCCAGTTTTTGCCAAAAAAGAAAATCATCCATCCATCCACCCATCCTATAATATCTTATCCTGGTCAGGGTTACAGATAAAAAAAAAAATAATTTGTACAATACATTGTTGTTTAAATATGTAAAAAAGAAATGTTCGACAGTTCGTGTTTTAGCATTTTTTGCAAACTTTGAATTAATTCCACTGTAATGGAAATATGATGGATAAGTGTGAGCTTCCCAGACCTGATACATGTTCAAGTCTTCCAATTATCTTCAAATGAACAAAAAAATCCTTTCAGGATATTTTACTGCATCCATCCTTCTGTCAATAAAAGTTTCAAAACATTTATACAGTTGGTTAGGTGCATAACTACTTAAAAAAGTATGTAGTGCTTGGATATAATGAGAGCCTGTGTAGCAGGGACAGGGTTTGGAACTCCTATCAGTGTTTATCCATGTGCCAGTCACATGACCCTGCTCATCTCTCACCTTACAGCTGGGCTGGTAATCACCACTCCCCAAGGTACGCTGGTCTCCCCTCCATCCTCATCGCAGTCCTTTGTCTCCGGACATCCTACGACAACCATGATAGTGTCAACGCTACATGCCCCGAGTACAGGTAAGCAGCCCCAATGCACCGTAGTAAGCACCCAAACTACCTCGCAAGCTGCCTGATGGGCTTTTTTGTGTGAAGATGATAATTGCACTGACTGTTTTTTTTAATCCCCTGATGGATTTCATAACAAGCAATTTAACAAGAAGCTTTTTTAAAGGCAAACTTTGAAGACGATTCTTAGTGTTGTTCCTTCATTTATTATTTGCTCATATCCCAAAGCATGACAAAATTGTTTCCCTTGCTACAGAAATGCAATAATTCTATTTTTTTTAAACATAACTGCATCCAATTAGCATTAGAGAACCAGCAATATGTTTAATAATTTTTATAACGTGGAAAAATATTTAATAGCTTTGTAGGAAAATGTTCAGTATTTTTTTTCAGTGTTTTTATTCTAATGATGTAATTTTACTGAACTGCAAAGTTTGGTTCCTCTTTGCTTCAAGCAATGGCTCTGCTGTGGAAGGTCCCAGCAATGCAGCTGCAAATGCATCACTGCAGCTATGCAGTCAGTTGAGTAATGGTGTAACCGGCACTGTACTGATGGCCTTGCTGGGCTGAATGTGTGTCCTAATAGCAAAATTAAGCTAAACCGCTGTTAGCACCAATAATAACCTTACATTAACAGCAATCCTGAGTGCACCAACAAATGATCCAATAGCAATTCTGTTCAGTTTTTCTGTTGATCTTTTACTAATTATGGATCCTGTATACCAAGATCTTTTTCTGCAGAGTCTGCTCACTTCAGAACTTACTTGAAGTGTCATCCAAGACTGTCTCTCAGTCGGGAATGTTCCTCAAGAACTGACAGTTGTTGTTCTAATTTCTAAAATGAGTTCAGTGGGAGTTGAATTAATTCCATGAGGTGTGTGTTTACTGAATGGCAGCGGATACCCACAGGAAGACATGCGGGTGTTGTGATGCATCGTTGCAATGATTTAACACTTACTCACTTCACCCAGTCACCCGCAATGCAAATAGGTTAATTAGCTAGTTTTTAAAATTGTATCCCTATAGGCACAGGAGTTATGTAATGCATTGAGACACGCTAAATGCAAACTGCAACAGGACAATTTTAAAACCAGACAGCTATTAACCATTAATCAACACAGTAATATGCATACATGCACAGTACATTTTAACCGTGGGCTGCACCCCTGGCTCATGCCCTTGACCCTACCGTCCTAGCATTAGCCTGGACGGTATCCTCTTGCGGTATTAGCACTGTTAGGGTCTCTGAAAGGGATGAGCATGGGATACTATGTCGACGGGAGCTCTCTTGCACCGTGTATGACAGCATCATCACACAGCCTGGATTACTGATTATCCAGATTTGCTTCCCTCAGTTATCCTGACACATCCATTCCTGTTTTCCCACCAGATAAAAAAGACGACATCGGCATTTCCCCAGCTGTCGTCATGCCGACACCCTCTAAACGGGGCCGGAAGAAGAAGACGGAGCTGTCTCGTGCTGGCCCCACCCCAGGCGGCCACCCCCTCTCCGCAGGAAGTGACGCGCTCATCTTGGCACACCTGGCAGCAGGGGGGCAGGTAAATGAGCCACATTTGCTTTGTACGAGCAGTGTAATTTGCTAGAGATTCAGCTCCATTGATGAAACTGTGTCAGGTGACTGGGTTGGGCCAGTCAAGGCGCAGGTACAATGACTATGTTTACCTGCCATTCACAACAGTTGTGCTCGGTTATTGGGTAATTTGCTACTTTCACAGGGCAGATGCCTTTGCCCAAAGCAGTGCACAAGTGAGGAAAGCTTGGGGTCAGAGTGCAGGGTCAGCCAGCATGCAGCAGCCCTGGAGCAGCTTGGCTTAAGGGCTTTACTCAAGGGCCCAACAGTGATATGTTTACTCTGCTGACTATAGGATTCAGACCCTCAAACTGCTGGATATGAGCATGTCCATTCATGGTAGCCTCTGGGGTTGTGGGTTCGATTCCTGTCCCAGATCTGTGGAATTTGCAGGTTCTGCCTCATTTTGTGTTAGATTCCTCCTACGGTCCAAAAATGATTTGAATGAATATGCCTAAATTGCCCTTAGTGTTCAGGCCAGGATGGACTGGCATCCTGTTCTGCTGACCTGCTCCAAACGTCCTGCAGTGGATAGGCTATACTAAAAGCAGTGGTGGGTGGATGGATAATGCAACATTAAAATGAATGAAGAGAAGTCCTCCCCTTTTTGACTGGGCATGTGTTTTTGCAGCACCACACCGCTGACCCATATGACCTTTCGAATGATGAGGACGACCATGGCGGCAAAGACAGCAGCAAGTCTTACAGGTAGGAGGGCAGAAGGATCAGATAGTGTCATGTCCTTGCGTAGCGTCTCCCTAGAGTAGGGGGGCAGCAGCCTGCAGATTGCTAGCGGAGCTGGTACTAGTGCAGCGCTCTGCACGCGTAGAGCTCGCACCCCTGTCGTTAAGGTGCATGGCCTCAGAGCACAGCAGCGTCGCAGTGCATGCGGGAGCGAGCACGCGTCGCAGCCACAGGCAGGCCCCCGCACACGTTAGCGACCGAGCGCTGGAGCATGCACGCTGTCCTCGTCTCACCGCCACATGCGCTTGCCACACATGCTGGACAACACGCCTGCACTGTCCCACCCCCCAGCCCCCTCACTGTCACCATAGTGAACTGTCTCTCCCCCACCCTCCACTGCATCTCCTGCAAATACCAAGCGCTCTGGCTTTCTCCCTCCTCTCCATCCCTGTCTCTCTCCTTTCTGTTCTGTCGCCCCTCCCTGCTCCATTGTGTTATGTTCCAACCTGTTTTTGGGTTTGTTGTTTTGCTTCTGTTTTGTTGCCCGTCTGCCATCCCGCTTCTCCTCTCCATCCTCTGCTGCCTTCCTCCTCCTGCACTTCGGCTGTCCCCCCTTTCTCTCTCCACACCCCCAACCCCCCGTCTCTGCCTTCCTGTCTCTGTGTCTCTCCGCCTTTAGGTGCCGGATGTGTGCAGTGACCTTCTTCAGTAAGTCAGACATGCAGATCCACGCCAAGTCGCACACAGAGGCCAAACCGCACAAATGCCCGCATTGCTCCAAGTCCTTCGCCAACTCCAGCTACCTGGCGCAGCACATCCGCATCCACAGCGGGGCCAAGCCCTACACCTGCTCCTTCTGCCAGAAATCGTTCAGGCAGCTCAGTCACTTACAGCAGCACACACGGTACTGCAGCTCCCCCGGGCGCGCTGCCTGCTGGGGTGTGGGTGTGGCCTGGCCTGTGTGTGCAGAGGCGTGCCCCCTGTGGATGGACTGGTGTGGGGGGAGGGGCTCTGTGTGTGGGGCTTCCGTCACACGGGTGGGTTAGGGGTGGCATAGGGCTGGGCGATATCATATCGATATTGCATTGCGCATGTGCAATAATCACTAGGGCTTCAGATGACAGCCGCAACATTTGGCCAAGCACCAGCTTTTCGGTGCTATATGGACATTTATTTACGCCCACAATTTGTTAAGCAGTTTAGTAGTATGGCTAAAATATTAATAAGGCTTTGTATGATGTCCAGAAGTCATTATTAGTATAAATACGGCATATCCTTATGTTTAATAAATGTGTCAGACTTTGAACTGCAAAAAGTACCACCACACCGCCGACGTCTTTTTACCTTGTTTATCCACAAGATCTTTTAAAAGATATCGTGGCTGCTCTTCTTCACCGCGACTTAGTATACCAAACTGTAGTATTCCAAAACAGTATTATGTGGTGTGCTCCGTTAATCGAATTTAAGAAACATAAAGTTTATACTGATTACTAATTTTTGGGTATCTCAAAACACATCTCACTAATATTTAAGCCATACTACTAATCTTCTTACCAAATTATGAGCGTAAATAAATGTCCACATAGCACTGAAAAGCTGGCGTCCGGCCAAATGCTTTGTCATCTGAAGCCCTGGTGATTATTGCGCATGTGCGATGTAATATCGATATGATATTGCCCAGCCCTAGGGTGGCGTATGCGTTTGGTCATGTGACCGGTCTGGGGGAGCCTGGCCACGTGAAGCTTTAGCAGCCTAGAGGGAGCCTGTCATCCTGGCTAAACGGCCTACGAAGACCCATCTATAACAGGTGGAAATAAGGCTACAGGGAGCTGCCCTTTGGGTCGTGCTGAGGACGGGTGGGCTCATCTGGGTGCTCAGTGCATGGCCACTCTCATGCTTGTTCATCTCTGCAGCCTCTCTGTGGCCCTCCTTCCATATGTCTGCTGCCTGCCGTTGTGTGTTCCCACTCCCATTCATGTCCACTGCTCTACCTCCCTCCTTCCCTCGCACATTAACATGATGACACACAGCAGCGGGCACACAGGCTGAGGGGGGTGTGTGTGAATGGGTGGGTTGGGGGTGCGACTGAGTGGCACTGCCAGCATCTCGTTCCTGCTTCCTTGCTGCTTTAGCCCCCCCCCCCATCTGCCACTTCCCCTCATTCCCCACATTCCCGACCTCCCTCTACTCTCCTGTGCTTCTCAGTCACCCTGGTCCCCTCCAAACAACCAGCGATAGGAATTCTCGCCATTTATCATTCTGCTAAGTAATAAACATGTGTTTTTTCCCACCTGTTGTTTAATTTTGACATTTTGTATTAACATTCTCTCTTTCCTGCCCCCTTTGTGTGCATTTCAGTGTTTTATACTTCTCAGAGAATGAGCAGCTGTCTGTAGATGACTTTGCACGTAGCTTTATGTGTGCTGCATTAGCTAGTGTCTCAGGCCCCACTGGGAGGAAGAGAGGGCTGAGGGTGATCGAACTGGCTGTGTGTTGGTGTCCCATGTTGTAGGGACCTTCTGCCGCCTGCCCACTCACCTCCAGATGTTGGTTGGTTTGATCCAACCTGGGCGAGTAGCCCTTATCCCCCTCCTCTTACCTTCCGTATTTCTCCCTCCTGGTCAGAAACCATACAGAGGCCAAACCACACAAATGCCCGCATTGCTCCAAGTCCTTCGCCAACTCCAGCTACCTGGCGCAGCACATCCGCATCCACACCGGGGTGAAGCCCTACACCTGCTCCTTCTGCCAGAAATCATTCAGGCAGCTCAGTCACCTGCAGCAACACAACAGGTGAAGCCAGTTCTGGGAACACCTGGGGAGGTGGGCGTTTCCCTGGGTATATATTTTGGGGGGGAGGGAACGGGTACAGGCAATCACGTCTGTCTCTTTGCAGGATCCACACTGGAGACAGGCCTTATAAATGCGTGCACCCGGGATGCGACAAAGCCTTCACACAGCTGTCCAACCTGCAGGTAACGCACCTACTCATCAGAGTAGAGCCTGGGCACCCAGCCGTGACACTCTTTACAGAGACAGAGTTATGCAGTGTCTCCCTGGGCTCTGCATGACCCTCTTCTTCCCTTTGCATGCCCAGTCCCACCGGCGGCAGCACAACAAGGACAAGCCGTTTAAATGTCACAACTGCAACCGGGGCTACACGGACTCAGCCAGCCTGGAGGTGCACCTGTCCACCCACACAGTCAAGCACGCCAAGCTGTTCTCCTGTGGCCTGTGCAACCGCACGTACACTTCGGTACGCTCCCGTGGCAACGGCACCGGGCCCCTCTCCCAGCTAACACTAACTCATCCATCCATCCATCCATCACCACTTAGCCAGTACAGGCAACGCCCTGAATGGGATGTCCCAGTACCAATGCATTGATTTGCTTTAAATCAGAATGTGTACCTCGTTCTATATTTCTATGCCTCTGCAGACAAATTCTGTGTCATTTCTAGAAATTGCTTGTGAATTGTTTAATTGTACAATGCAGGGTAAGAGGTTACAGATAGATTGAGGGGTGGATGTTCACAGTGTTTATCTCATCACTTTTGCTGCATCTCTTGCGGTTTGAATGTTGTGCTGCGTCTGCTTGCCTGATCAGTAAGCTTCACTCCTCCCCCCCGCAGGAGACGTACCTAATGAAACACATGAGGAAGCACAACCCTGACCCCCTGAGCGCGGCTGCTGTTGTCTCTGCTCAGCAGTCGCAGCAGCAGCCCCAAGGCGGTGGGGGTGGGGGGCAGAGCCGGGGGGAACGAGGAGAGAGTGGAGCAGTAGTAGTGGGATCCAACACTGGGGCTGGGGGTGGCCAGGCTCAGAACCAAGGCAACCACCACGCCCCCAGCAGTTACCCACAGGCGGATGCCGTGCCCTGCCCCTTTGACCTCCACCAGTACAAGACAGTGTCAGCTGGGGACATCCAGTACAAGCCAGTGAGCGTGGCTGAACTGACGGCCCACAAGGACCTCTGCCTGACTGTCTCAACCTCAACCATCCAGGTGGAACACCTCAACTCATAGAGCTAGTGGTGGGGAATGGCGTGGAGGAATGCGCAAACTGTACAGAGAGTGCCACTGTGAGCGTGGTGTTTATAGGAATAAAGACTGACGAAGAGGATAAGACGGGTGCGTCTTGGGGGTTTGGACATACCACCCCCCCACACACACACACACACCTTGCAGTGAAAGGAGAATCATGAGAAGAATGACAGTGATGGAGGAGTATAGATGTGGAAGGATGAGCACCATCAAGCAAAAGGCTGTGAGAGAGAGGGACCTACATTTTTGTTCTTTTTTTTTAAATCAGTTTTTCATTTTTTTTTTAATTGTTCTTAGTTTAATTTTAATGTTTTTCCTTGTTATATCGGGATAGTTTGGAAGTGGAAGGAAGTGAGTGAGCCAAGTGAGCGACTGAGAAGAGAATGAATGATGAACAAGGAATAAATGAAGATGAGAGATTTGTAAAGTTAATTTTTTTTTTTTGGATATTTTATATCTTTCCACTCTTCCCTGGGAAACCTACATCGGCAAAGGTGGCTATAAAAACTATGGAATATCAATAGTATTCATAACAACAGTTGCCAAGCACTCTGTGAAAGTCTGTTTTTATACTTTCATACAGATAGCTGTAGCTTATTGTTTCTATAATTATTCTTGATAAAAATAGTCTGAACTGTTACTGTAAAATGTAAGATAAGCTGGCAAAAAAATGATAAGGGAAGGTTATGCTTCTAGGAAATAAAAAATATATTAGAAAGAAGTTATATATATATATATATATATATGTATATGTATATATATATATATATGTATATATATAATAAATCAGGGTTTCCCTTGTGGGAGGGGTAATTGGTTGAGTTATTTTAAACCAGTAACAAAATGTAAACTGCACATTCCGCCAACAGGACCCTTCAGTTTCACCTTGTTTCTTTAAATGTTGCACTGTTTACTATCCCAGACTTGCCCATATGGTGCAGATCGCCATGCTGACGGAGCACTGTGGGGAAACCCTGTATATTAGTGTGTTAAAAAGATTCACACGTAAAAAAAAATCCTAATACATGTATCCTGCCATCAACCAGTTACAGAGTCTACATTTAGCCCATGGTTATGTTTGAGAATGGTTTCGATTGGCTGGTGCTTGTTATGTGTAATCCTTGTAGTATTTCATTATGCGTCAAAAATAACATGGTTTTCAAAATTATTATTCTTACTATTATTATTGCTCACTATGTCTGCTGAAATGAACTACAGCTATAATGATGTCGATGCTCCATACTGTGTAGCCGATGCATCTGAATTGACTGTTTCCCCTTACAAACCAATAAAAGACAGATGGATACCGACCTAGGTTTGTTTTTATTTTTTTGCTTTTTTTTCCCTGTCTTTTGTTCAGTTTTAAGGAGGTCGTCTGTAGTCTGAAACCTATCTAATTATATGACCTTTAAAACACCATTTGTTTCTTTCAAAAAGAAAATGAAAGTTTGAACTCCCCTGTGGCCACAATGATTTCAAGGACACTGTCTGGCAGAGCGGCGGCGATGTCTGAAGGCTCCACAGGGGCTCCTCGTGTGTCTGACAGTTATAGTCACTGCAGCTTTTATGGCATCATTTGTAAGCATGTCCCTGTCACATCATGTACATCGATTTTTATGTTATATAATGTGTGTGGCTTGGTAGCTCAGTAGATATTTTGATCTGAATGTTTAATTTTGAGAAACTGTTAACAATTAAATATTTTTTACATGGGTAATTTAAATGTTTATCCTTATAGGGAGCAGGACCACCCATACTGGAGGAGAATGGGGAAAATGTCCAGGGTCCCTGACACAATTGACTAGGGAAAGGGTTTTGGATCGAACCAGATCAAAAAGACAATCAGTGGTATTGTCCATCCCCAGGCTTGGGTTCTGATCCCGTTCCTATGGAGGGAACAGAAATATGAACTGTCTGGGGGCCACTGAGTTCTGGGTTGATAAACGCAGGTCTGAAGTACCCATAGTGCATGGTTGTACATGGGGGTACTTGTCATAGTATGGAGTAGCATCCCTTTCAGGGTGAACCCCAGACTTTTACTCCACACTAATTGGGATACACCAAATGACAGTTCTGTCCACTTGCTAACAGTACGGAGATCCACACTGTCTTCTGAGATAAGACCAGCAACATGTTGTCATTTACAGATTTGATGAATCTGACAGTTGTTCAGAGATGCTAACATAGATGGGAGTAGAATATACAGCCTCATGGTCCTCCAGTGTTAAAAGACTAGTATCCAGTATCGAGTGAACTAAAACCTAGAAAAAGAATTGCTTTCAATGCAGAACTCGTTTCTCGTTACATACGGCACGGTAAAATACTACACTACATGACCAGACTATCAAGCAAACCAGCACCCCAACTGCACTCCCGAGCTTCGCTAGCAGTTCAAATACATGTCTGTCACGCTGCAGACTATACCATTTCCTAAACGTAGGGTTATTACTTTGTGGATGTTAAATTCACTGGCTCAAATTTACAGTATAATTTTCAGTATAATAATATACAGATAATAAAATATAAAACATATGTAATTGAAATGCTGTGAGACTAGTAAATATATCATATACTTAGTAAAAAGGTGAAATGCTCGACTCGATGGTATGATCTGACACTGCGTATGTGAAGCGTGAGGTAGTCGAGAAACTTCACGAATTCGGTTAGATAGATGTTAAAAAAAACAGATAAAAACTTTCCGATGTAACTCATAACTGATAGCAGTATCATGCCCAGGAAGAAGCCGTTTAGCAATAAACAGAAGAAGAAGCAACTTCAAGTGAAGCGGGAGAGAAGAAGAGGTAGCTGTTTAACACTTACTTTCTCCGCGTAGGACAAACGCAACTTCGTGCCTCCACTGATACGAGCGCGTTTTGCGTACAGCGTTTGGAAACCTCATTTCACTTTACACCTTACTCCGACTCTCAATTATTTTTAATGGTCATTGGTTGGTAGTTAAGGTTGGCAGCTATAATTTTTTAATTAAAATTGAAATGTCCGGAGTAAGTTTTGGGTGGCTGACTAACAACAGTCACGAGAGCATGTTTTGAGCTGCTACGGGCCATTTAGCTTCCAAGCTACATGTGTCGCATGTTTAAAATGCAGTATTGATTTATTGTTGAATACAAACTGCGGCTATTTACCTGGTTATGTAGTTAAGCACGTTGTTTTTACACTAGGATGACGCTACAGTTAAACATGTCGTTGTGGTTAGCTAGTGATAATATTCCGCCTATTTGGACCACCCGTAAAGGGAAAATGGCTATTTTCCTGAGTAATGTGGAATAGTTTATTATATATACACCTTAGTTGAAATCGAGTAACACAATTTATGTCTTTTGACAGCAGTACAGTCAGATGCTAACAGGCTAGCATAGCAAATGTCGACTTATTGCTGAATATGACTGTAGCAAGGAAGGAGCTAGATAACTGAATTTCTGGGTAAACGTCAAACCAAAATATGAGATCATTTTCTGAAATAGCAACTGTTTTTGAAATAGCATTTTATAGTGTTTACTAGCTAAGTTGTTACTATGCTAAGTCATTTGCTGCGGTATATAATTAGCAGCTAAAACTATTAGCAGTGTCGGCTGTACCTGGCAAAATATAAGCTCATATCTTATTAATGTTAAACTGCACAGTAAATTTAAGCACCACATCAAGCAGGATTATCAACTTCTAAAGCCGTGTAGGACCGTATTGTTTTGATGTGTTCTGCGCATGCTCCCTAGAAGCGCCAAAACGTGAAGATGCACGTTTTAAATTTATGTTTGATAAATCTGCCCACTAGCTGAGTTTGAAGCCGTCTATAAGTATGAAATTTGTACAAAAAATGTCTCATGTTGTACCTTTCTCGTCCTAGGGGACACTGGCTTCATTGGCAACAGTCGAAATGCGAGTTGTGAACGAGTTAAGGAGAGAGACGGACAGTCGGACACGACAGATAGCGAGACTACGGACGTGAAGAGGATCAATCAGCAACCAGCCGAGAGAGATGGGACCTATGACCTGAACAGGTGCGGGAAACCTAAAGCAGATGTAGGTGATTGCTATCCTGATTAAGAATTTACAACAAATAACTGACTTCATGGTAAATATTACACAATACATACATATGTCATAATTGTTTATGGCTTTCCTATTACAGTATTCAGTTTTTAAAAGTATTTCACATTGGCTACCTGTGCTTTATATTGGAAGGGTTGTGGAACTTAATGTAGTATTAAGCCAGGTACCCCATCTAATGTCAAATGTCAGTCTGGATAACATGTGCTTGATGTTTTTGTTCCTTTTAAAAGAAAACCTGTATATTTCAGGCTAGGGCTGGGCAATTGATCAAATTTTATTTTCAGTTATGATTTTGGATTTCAAAACGATATTCAAAATAAAATTATTATTGTGATGCATGTAGTTTTGCAATGGTGCCCCTGTTTTATCTTGCGTTATAAATCCAGTGCACCCCTCTCTAGCCCCTTTTTGTTTATTTCTCAGTTGAATTTATATTTACAGGGTTTTTTAAGTTCAATAAATGCATGATATTTCCAAATTCAATGAGTAATCATATTAAATAATCATGATTTTTGTCATAGTCAAGTAGCCATACTTCAGGCCTTTGCAGTAGAGTGTCTTTGAAACATTCATTCCACATGTCTAGATTCCGCTTGCACTTTGAGAGGGAGAGCAAGGAGGAGATCGAGAGACGGAAGGGAGTAGCCAGAGAGAGGATTCTTCGCTCGGTGGCAGAGAAGGATCTAGAGATGGATATCAATGACATCTATCCAGCAGAGAAACGTGCGTGATGTTCGGGTACCTTGACTTACCTGCAGGTCGCCCTCTGCTGGACCTTAGCAACCTTAGCACATGCCATAGCAACCCTAATGCTCTCATGTTCTGGATTCATCAAAGGTCTGGATTTTCCACGCAGACCTTCCTGGCATTATGGGATGGCTCGTGAAGAGCTCCTCAGGAAGGAAGAGAAGTCATTCCGGGAGTTCCTGACAGCGCTACATGGTCGCAATGAGCTGAGATCCCTTAGCCACTTTGAGCACAACCTAGAGGTCAGAGGGATGTAGTGCAGTCTGGTCAGCCATATAAGCTATCCTGTACGGGTTTCTGTACATCTGGGGTAAGTCAGATGACAAGGAAGACAGCTTCCTTACATCATTCTGTCTCTTTAACAGACATGGCGACAGCTGTGGAGAGTGTTGGAGATGTCAGATGTTGTCCTGCTCATTGTAGATATCAGATATCCAGTTGAGTATTGTATTATTGCTGTACCCATTGTCACTATCCTGTTAGTCTGCAGAAATATGTTGTTGTTGTACTTGGGAAAAACTGTGTTTTCTCTCTATGATTTTTCAGGTTCTCCACTTCCCTCCAGCTCTGTACAATTATGTCACCAACGAGCTTCACAAGCAGGTGATCCTGGTTCTGAACAAAGTGGACCTTTGCCCCGCTCCTCTGGTCCTGGCCTGGAGACACTACCTGTCGTCCCGCTTCCCCAGTCTGCACTGTGTCTGTTTCACCTCTCAACCAGGGCAGGCTTATGACACAGGTGAGCTCGGAGAGCAGGGCTAACCTGCGTGCACGTAGCTCCTAGCAGCCATGGAGTAATGCTAGGACTGCAAAAACAAAACCATCATGTATAAGCTTTATCTAAATTTATATTCATATTTGGTTTGATGCAAATAAAGAGTACTTTATTTGTGTATTTCATTACTTCTGATTTCAAGGGCAAAAGTTTGGATGTTTTTGCTGCCGCATTAACGGAGTTTTGGAGCTTTGTTCCTGTCATTCATACTGTGTTAATAAGTGTTAATAGTTCAATTACAGTGTCCCACTGGGGCTAAAAATTTCAGCTCGCATTCACTCAGCTGTGACGTTATCTTGCTTTGCATGTGAAGTGCTTCAGAAGAGGAGGAGGAAGAAGAAGCTTGGCTGGAATCAAGCAGCAGGGCCTGTACAGATCCTGCGAGCCTGTCAGGACATCGTTGCTGGGAGAGGTGAGACGTGTCCGAGTGATGAGCTGAGGCACACAGCTGTCCTAAGGCATGATTTATACTGACTGAACTGACTGACGCACTAAGCTGATAGAGGGGTAATAACTCAAATATCAGCAGTCTTTAACGCTCTGTAACAGAGTTTGGCTGGTAATTAACAGTTCATGGATCAGGGGATCTTAACTTGTTTGCTGTTATGGACCCCTTTGGCAGTATGGTGAGGCTTGTGGACTCCTCCTCAGAATGATCATGAAAATATCCTTGATCCCTGTTGGCGACAAAGTCACAGGTGGTGACAACACTGGTGTGTTTTGTGGCCTACATTGATAATTGAAGGAAATGCTAGATTTCGGCTAAAGATTTATGAAAATAAAGATGTTCCTTTCATGATAGATCAGTAAAGTTCAGGAACACAGACTTCTGTTTGTGGTTCTGTGCATTGTATTTGATTTGCTGTGTCAAGGGCCCTATGCTTCCTTGCAGTGGATCTAAGTAGCTGGGAGCAGAAGATACAGAGAGATGTTTCTACTAGCTGCCTGGATGAGGATGTACCAGAAGACGTGCAGACTGTGTTGGTGGAGCACCAGAGCGATGTTGCCATGGAGATGCAGAGCTCTTCCCATGAGCTCTACAAAGATGGGGTGTTCACCCTTGGCTGTATTGGTACGAGTGTATCCATCTGTTGACGCTTTTAAACAGCAGCCTGAATGTATCCTGCTGCTTTGCTTGATTCTGCTCTGACCAAATTTTTGTTTCTCTGTCCCTCTCACTCCAGGATTCCCGAATGTGGGAAAGTCTTCTGTGTTAAATGGCCTTGTGGGAAGGAAGGTAGTGAGTGTATCACGCACGCCAGGCCACACAAAGTACTTCCAGACTTACTATCTGACCCCCACCGTCAAGTTGTGCGACTGTCCTGGCTTGGTTTTCCCCTCGCTCGTGACCAAGCAACTGCAGGTAATCAGTCACTGTGCTGGCCATTGTGTCTTTGCGCTCGACTGACCGCTTGCTGACAGGATGAGCAGACACAGTTGCACCCTCTCTGCTTCTGTCCCATAGATCTTGGCTGGCATTTACCCGGTGGCTCAACTCCAGGAACCCTACAGCTCTGTGGGCTACCTGTGTGAAAGGACCCCCTTCCACTCTGTCCTTAAGCTCAAACACCCCAACCAGGAAGGGGGGGATTTAGGAGGAGAGGACCAATGGACAGCCTGGGACGTGTGTGAAGGTACTGGAGGTTGTTGCCTTTGTATTGGATCCCAGTTGCTGATTCCGGGTGAGCGTGTTTCAAAACCTGGGGAGCCTTTGGTGTCATTCCTGCCCCCAGATAATACTTGCCATGCTGTCCTCTCCTTCTTTCTCAACTCCCTCCCCAGCCTGGGCTGAGAGGAGAGGGTACAAAACAGCCAAGGCGGCCAGGAACGACGTGTACCGAGCTGCAAACAGCCTTCTGCGGCTGGCCATAGATGGCAGGATCTCCCTTTGTCTCACCCCCCCGGGGTACTCGGTCCAGAGAGGTGAGCAGGAGCGTCAGGCTCCACTTGAGCAAGGCCCTTAACCCCCAGCTTCTGGGGTGCCGCAATGGGGTCGGCAAAGACAAGAATTCCAAAGTACCTGTATTCGTACTTGTGCAAAGAGCAGATAAAGGATTTTTTTCATTTATCAATCAATATGCAGCACCATGAATCTGTATGCATAACTGTCAAACCTGATTTTTACCATAAATCAGGGTTATTTTTTCCTTCTGTCTCATTCATTTATCTTTGAAGAATGGATGAATATGAACCCTAAAATAACCAAAGAACATGCAGATTTAAATTTCCTAGTATGTTTTTCGTTGAATTAAAAATGCCAACACAACTTGTGAAACAATCATTACTTATAATCTAAACTAAATTTGTTAATTAGGTGTAAATGTATAATCTAGTGATTTTCATTCCCAGTCCTGCACCATTTTCCACTGTCTTCCTCCAGCTGCGTGGGAGTCCCACCCGGATCTCTCAGAAATAATCACTCTACAAGGTAGGAATGATGAAGAAGGGCTGGGAGAAAGGGATGAAGAGGATGGTGAGTCTAGCTCGGAGCCGGAAGAGGAAGGGGATCGGGATGCAGATGAAGATGATGATGACAGCGATGAAGAGGATGACAGCCTCAGGAATCCCTTGTGGAAGGGAGGCCTCCAGGCCAAGCTGAAGGCCAACATGTTCAGTGTCCTGGGAGAGAATGAGTGTGAATGAGGACCAAAGGACGGCCTTTCTCATCTAGCTTCCAGTTCATCTCCCCCCCACTCTGACATTCATTCCTGATGCTTTCCTGACTACATTTTTCAGACATTCCCATCCTGTCACATGTTGTGTTCCTGTTTGACAAATGCCTTTTAAATCCCAAGCTCACTCCCATGAATCAGTCTCTGTCCCCCGCCTCAGACACACTCCTTCCCATTCTGAAAGAATCACGCTGAGTTGCCAGACCGAGCCCTTATTTTTCCCATAAAAATGTTAGCATCTGCCCAGTGTCTTTCCACATCTCCAGCTTTCCACATTTGATTTGGCGCGTTGCAGTATTGTGCATTATTTAATGAATTTGTCTGTCCTCTTGGTTCACAAAGTCCCAGATGATGCAATCATTGATTGGTTAACAATCAGTAATCTTGCCAAAGGCCCATTTGATGCTTTCCAGGGACAGATCAGTTTCCTGAAGCCCTGGATGCTGGTGTGGGGGCTTCTAGTCCTTTACTCTATAGTTGAAGTAGTGTTATAGCTACAGCAGCACTGTATAGCTCTCTGTTGTCCACAGGACTTTATTATGCCATGTAACTTTTCGTGCATGGTTGTACAGGTCTTGTATGAACTTCCGCAGTACCGAGCAGTAGTTCTGTGGTGCCTTGCACATTTTTTACTGCAATGCAGTACTATATTACAATGATATAGTCCTGTATTACCAGATATTTGCTGAAATGTATTGCACTGTATAACGTACAGTAGTGCTGTGCTGGGCCTACTTTTCAAATCTGAGTCGCATTACTCTGGTGTCATGCTCTGTGTGAAGTGTGAGACTAACCTGAGTTTGGGTTCAGCGTTCATGATTGCATTCCTAACATACCTGAGTGAAAGAACTGGATATTTTCTGCAATAAAATGAATGCATTGGCATGATTTCTTGTTTCTGTCTCTTTCATCTGGGAAATTTGCACGTACTGGTAATACTGTGGGTGTTTGTGCTGTGTTCTGATTTCTCCTGTTTACAGTTAATGATCTTTATTTATATCCAAAAGAGTGGGCTTACTGATGTGAAGTTAAGTTTTGTAAAATGCCCCCTTTAATTTGTCAAATGGAGCTCTAGTCAAGGACTGCAAGGTTTATGGTACTTTTTCCTTCATTTTTTATTTTGGAATTTTATCTGCTACGATTCGTAAAAGAATAGTTTTTCCTTGTTTGATGGTTTCGATTGATTCAAATTTTTACCTTCTAGGTTTTTGCTCTTTGCTAAATAATAGCATTCTTAGAAAGTTACTTAATGTGCCAAACATGGATAATTTAGCAGGGATTATATCTTAATATTGTCAAAAATGGAATTTAATCAATTGCTGGCACACTGAAAGGTTGAATGTGCTCTGTTTGGAACTGCATGTGGTTTGCATTAGCTGGAGCGAGTCAAAGATGAGTGCTTTTCGTATGATGTAAGACCCTGGCGTCTCCCACCCTCCACGAGTATGACTCCGCTGTAATGAGTTTGTTTCATTTGAGGACCAGTAAGCTGATGTCTGGAAACTCTCTCTTCTCGGAAAGGCGACTCACCTGCCTTCTGAACTGATGAATGAGTGGCCATGAAACTAGAGACAATTTGTGGTGGGTCAACACTTCAGCACGTGAAATGGATCAACCCCCAGATTCACTGGAGTGACACATTGGATACGCCGCTGGTTATCCAGTCTTCCTTTCAGTTGGTTTTTTCCCCTCTGCTAAAATCCTAAAAAGGGATGCTTAACAGAATTAAGTCAACCCTGTCTATATACACTGAGTGTACAGAACAGAAGGGATGCCAGCCTTTTCCATCTAATACACTGATCAGATGAATGCATGAAAGCATTGTTCCCTTGCTGATCACAGTTGTTAAATCTACTCAGTGTATTTTATAGGTTGTCTGTATGAGGGAAATAGTAGACTTTGGGGTCTAGGTGCCTTTGAACAGAACTGCAGTGTTGCTGGGCAGGTGCCACTGGAGATTTTGGGCCCCATGAAAGCACATGATATTGCTCCCAGACCAATCCAATTATGTTCCAGATATTTTAGGGTTTCTGCCACTCAGGGGCCCTTGGAAACGTTCTAACCCACCAACCCCCCCCCCCCCCCCCCCCCCCCCCCTTACGGCGCCCCTGTCGCTGGGTTCTTCTGGGCTCAGCAGGGTTCCTGATATCTAAAACGGTCCTTCTGGCTCAATGATGACAGAACTTTGCAGATCAGCATACAGTTCACTGAACACCACTGAGGTCACATGACCCATTAAAAAATGTTGCATTTTAACACATGGAGTGTTGCAGCCAACAACCTTACATAATTCTACTTTTTTCAGTAAGTGAAGGAAAGTGAGGTTGCATTTGGGCTAAAGGGTGGATATATTGGATGCTGGAAGATGGGGAATGTGTCAGCTGGTTGGTGATTTGCAGTTCCTGCTGTTAAATGTTGATGGGTGGGCTAGGGTATGCAGAAAAGCACGAGTTCATGCGTCCATCAGGCTGCATGTCACCATCGCAGGCTGATGCTGACAGTGGGCTGGTGTGGGCTGTGTTGTCCTGGCTGGCACAGAGCCCCATGATGAAAGCACGATATCTGAACATGCCTGCCCAGCAGGTGCAGTGCTCTGTGGCAGCAGAGCATCCAGTGCATTCGGCAGTGTAATGCCCTGTGCCGCAAGGCTAAGGTTCCCCAGTAATGGTTCCACGAACATGACAATGAATTCAGCTTAATGCACTGACCTCCCCAGTCACCAGATCTCAATCAATTTAAACATCCGCGGAACGAATTGGAACAAGCTATTTGGAATGCAGATCCAGCAGCAGGCAGCTCAGCTGTGGCCAGAGCAGGGGTCAGCATGGACTAGCATCCCCGTGGAATGCTTCTGACACATTGTTGAGTCTATGCCTTGATGAATTGAAGTGTTTCTGAGGGCAAGAGGGGGTGCAGAATAAGATTAGAAATGTCCCTAATGTTTTGTGTACTCAGTATATGTCTCCATTAATTCATATTCCATAAATGGAACGTGTAGTGACCCTGCACTAGATAAGCGGTTATGGAAAAAGATCCCTTGAAAGCAGTTTATCATATGCACTGGAGTACTCTCCATAAAGACATCTATTTGTTTAGGAGACCAGCATAACTTTACGCCACTTGTCCCCCTCTCCTGAAAACTCCGGGTCAGTTACAAGTTCAACAAAGTTAATGACAGCTCATCGCAAACAGCAAGAAGACGTTCAAGTATGTTATCATAATACGTGAACTGTAGAGGGCGCCATTGCGCAGCATCTTTTTTTTTTTAATAACCAAATGCTCATTCAAAGTTTAAAAGTGTGTTTTTGGATCTTATCCAATGCTGATATGGGATACAGAGTTTACAGGTGCATGTGTCTGTGTATTCGTGTTCTATGTCTGTTTTGTGTCAAGTTAGGTATGTGGGGTAGTTTGTGTCTGAATTTCTGAATGATGGAATGCATTTCTCTGCGGGAGATGTGAGCTGACTTCTGCAATGGTGTCTGACTGCCGGAGTCTGTATGTCAAAGTATATTTTTAGCACGTTCTCTCACAGCATAGTAATGGCACTCATTTGACTGACCGCCCCCCCAACACCACCCCCACACCCTTTCTGCTCATTCACTCTCACTCTGCAGACAACAGAAACCAACATATTCTGTAACATGACCAGGAGAGTGACAGTCAGTGTCTGGGAGAATTTACAGTCATGTGACCCTTCTGTTGTACAATGTTTCATTAACAAAAAATGTGGTTGACTGAACAGAGAGATGGAAAGCTGCAGGTGCAAAGCTAAATAAGTATATTAGTGTTCCCAGAGAAAAGGTAAACAAAGAACAGCCAGAGAAAATGTCTGAATGGGGCAACAGTTGGGAGAGTCGCACAACTGCCAGAGAGACAACAGAAGTCCCTCTGCAGTCAGCAGGCTGTGGAAACCGGATACCAGTCAGAGGTCTGCTCTGTTTCAGAGAAGAAGCAGGACAAGGACTCAGTACAGCTGGGCCAACCCCCCACCCCACCGCACCCCCACCCCACCCCTTGCAGCCGCCTGTGGTCCCCAGAGACACTCTGGCTGCACTGGACTGAGCACCAGCTTTTCACCCAGCACCTCACCATCTCCTGTGAGACGCCCCCCAATATAAACAGAGCGAGCCCCTGCAGCACAGTTTTGAGAGGTGACGGCCCTGTTGCCGTCAGTTTGCACACCCTCAAACCAGTTCCAAGCAGAACGGAGGGTCTTTTTTTTCCTGGGTGGTCAGTCACCATGGAAAAGGTGCACAGGTCCTGTGGCTTGACATCATTCTGGGCTGTAGGCAGTGAAATATGCCATCAGAAATTCACATTCCTCCCCAGCGTATCGAAGGGTGAAACAGAGAAATGCAGACTGCCCTCTGAGTGTCTGTTTTTATTGGAGTGACTAAAGTCACAGTACATCACAACTGGTCAGTTTAATAGTCACACAGGTGAACAGATATATATCGGGTTAGGAAAGTAGGACTGAATTTAAAAGGGAGGACTGTGTTCAGTGGAAACAAAGCAAATCAGCCATCACTGAAGAAACCTGGAGGTAGATATATGAGCCTGATACCAGCAATGACCTCCTCGTGGGGCCTAGTATGATAGCTCACCCCTGACACCTCTTTGTATTCCAAAGAGATCCCTGAGACATGCCAAGCGGCCACCAAAGCTTAAGGTGACGACCTTTGGCCCACATGTACGCCGTGCACGCCTCGCTCTCCACATGGGCCACACACTAACGCCCCTCACCGTTCATGAAATCCCCCACTATGTACAGCCAAATCCTGCCCTTTAATTCTGAAGTACAATCACTATGCCAATTCACATTATAATTGGGAAAAAAAAACTTCAAAAGAATGTGTTTCTTTGTTTACTGAGTGGCTTCCATGATAATCCTATATATGCTCAAAGTAAAGGCTTTTGAAGTCAATGAGGTTTTTGGCGGGGGTTGAAAGGAACCTCTGATGTTTGTCTTTCGCAAATAAAATGGATTGAGATGGAGAAAGGTGTCATGAGCTTGATAGGTATAGTAGAAAGAGAGAGGGAGATGGGCACAGATTGAGCGTTTCAGTTGGAGAATGTTAGGAATGCGAGTTTGTGTCAGTTCCCAACGCTCTGCAAGCATGGCATTCTGAAGTCGATCTGCCTTGTCAGAATCCTGCTCCATCCCCACAGCTGTTTGCCCCCATTGGGGCAGGGGGTGGGGTGGGATAGTTTGGATATGTGTTCTCCTTGCCACTCATTTACTTGTCAGTGGTTGTTTTTTCTTCTGCGTTTCATCGTCATTCTTTTTTAATTTCTCATTGTTTATATAAATCTACAGCAGTTCCACAACTAACACACATACTGCTTTAATATCGACTTCTGAGTGACGTTGGACTGCATTTACTTGTGAAATTAAATCAGCATGAATGATTCCGGCTGCAGTAAACCTACTAAAATAAAAAAGATCATGCGTTATTTAAAGTTCAGTTTTTTTTCTCAACAAAATGTAATTTTTTTTTTTTTTTTAATAATGTACCCTCTGGTTCTCTCGTCTGCTGTATTTTTTTGAACACGTGTTGTTTTTCCTCTTTTCTACAAAATGATCTTACCTTGTTCTCATCCATTCGTGAATAAGGATGTGTTAAAACAACGACTCGCTCTTCTCACTAACACCCTAACGCTCTGTCTTTCTCTCTCCCTCTCTCTGAATTCCTCACAGGATCAGACCTGCTTTTTTATGCCTGTGCGCTTTTCAGTCAATATATAAATGGCAGAGAAATTTTTGAGGCTGAAAGTGTACCCAGCAAAAAAGGAAAAAGTGAAAACGAAATGCTGGCATGGAGAGGCACAATAATGACAGACAAAAGTGACCAGAGAAAAGCGAAGAACAAAGGAGGTGACAGAGAAAAAGAAAAATGAAAAGACGTCCAAGGGTGGCGGTGCCATTCAGAAGGGGGATTTTCAGTTGCCTTGACAACCGAAAAAGCATGACTAGTGAGAAGTGAAAAGAATGAGAGAGTGACATAACATAAGGGATGCAAACCTCACAATGTTAAGCATGTAATAGGGAATTTCCAGAAAGAATTTTTTATAGATTCATATTAAGGGACATTTTAAGTATTTATATGTGTTTGTATGAAAATTATTGAACAATTGCTGTAAATCAATAATAATAATAATAATAATAATAATAATAATAATAAATGAATTTCTGAATGGACATGCTAACGGTATGTCAGGTGTCATTTGGTATCTCACCCGATCCGAGTTAAGTGAAAACTGGAAGCGAGTGATTGGTCGTTAATAGTATGCAAGGATAAGCAGAGCCCTAGAGCATTTCAGTGGCTAGTATTCACGTGAACAAAGGAGTACTGGGGAAGAGAAAAAAATGAAGACACGGCAGTTTTCGCTTCACTTCACTTCTATGCCTTCACTACCCACAGACTATCTGCCTGTGTCCGACAGCAACCTTGGATCTTTTCGACCCAGTGTATCCCTATTCGACTTTTCGAAGAGAATGGTTAGTCAACTGGACAATTAAAGGGTTATACATTTTCTTTATATTGACTAATTCCAAACACTTTATATAACAACAATAATATCAACTAGTCTTAATCTGACAATCTGGGATTACGCGTTCATTTATTAGTTTTTTCCTACTGTCCACAACGCCTTTTCTTCTCACTCAACTATTCCTTCAATATGCCCACGAAATAAAAACTGGTTTGGGCATATGCCCTCTACTTTGAGATAGGAGTGCTTTCAATAACAGTTATTATGCTTCATGAATGTAATATAATATCATACTAGCTGTAATGGTGTAATCTTCAGGGCTAGTCTGGACAGAACTAATATGTATACATACGACAAGCTAGTTTTTGCCTATTAACACAATTCCCCTAGAAGAAGAAGAAATCAGGTCGAATGTCAGTGAAACATTTGACAAAGAGATTATTTACTTCCTTCCATTTTATTTTACGCTTCCCTCAAATAACAGCGCACCACTTACAAAAAATCCACTAGTCTCCGGGGCTCTCATTGAATTTCATACTTTCAAGTTGGGTCACGGAGTCCCGCCCAGAGAGATTCTTGATTGGTCAGTTGCCTGGTAGGGTATGCAAATAAACACCTGGATCAGTACCGTGATTGGTCACGGCTGGTGCGGCTATGTAAATGAGCACCTGGTGGTGTTTGCTGGCCTCACGGGTAGCTGGGGTTTAGAGCCGGGCTCTGATTGAAAAATAAAAAGGCGTCCCAACGCGTTTAACTTTTATACGTCTTTTTTTCTCCTTTTCTAAAATATCGTTTTGAAGTACGAGTCCTTTCACTTACTGTGCCACATATAGGACATAACTTTTTGTTCCCCCTGGGTTGTTTTCTCAGTTAATTTTTTTGTTTATATTTTTATTTTCTTCTCTGACGTTGACAGCGGTCGAGCGATATTCTGGACTGTACAGTAAACGCGGGCTATCTCCGGATTTGCACAAAAGCGTAGCAGCGCAGTTAATATCTTTGCAAGGGAATCGAAGGGGAGCAAGAAGGATCTGTGAGGGACCTCGTCTTTTAGGTAAGCGGCGTACAGTCGTCTGTGTGCATATATAACATTTGTCCAGCAACCTTTTGTATCTGCCAGTTGTTTCTAAATGGGTTTCAGACGTGTATTGCAACGCTGCAAAAAGATATATATTTTCCAAATCTATAGATTTGTTAGCGTGTTGGGGTCTCTAACTCATTGTGAATTGGCGTCTGCGTGTCTGGATCTGTATAAGGGAAAGTTGCTTGGCACCAGGGAAAGACGCGCTGCGCGGTGTAACGTTGCGCCTGTTTATTTGTCTGTCTAACACGGATCCCTTACCTACCGCGTCCCAAACACTGACTTTATAAAGTTATATCGTAATCATTGGATTTTATGTTATATACGGCCCCGGCCGGTTTTGAAGAGTCTGTGATCTGCAGTAGACGTTTTATTTGACATTTTAAATTACCGTTATCGTAATGCTAAGTTTACGTTTCTCGACTGTAATAACAAGTGATGCAAGTGGTTTTGCTGTAGTTTAGTGTTGGACCTTTATTAGTAATTACAGCGTTCAAGTTGTGGCCTGCCAAGCTGGATGCCGCTTATTTATCGCGGGGTTGAAAACACAGGGCAGAAGCCTAACTGTACAAAGGGTCTACCTCGGAGGAAGGTAATGATACGTTTTTTGGAGTTAAAATGTATGCTGAGGTGTGACTAATAAAGGCGTTTTTTCAAGATGAGGTTTGTCGTTTGTAAAAGTTCAAACTTGAAAAGGACCCTTCATTTTTTTACGTTTTTTGAGCATTATTATTCACAGTGAAAACAAAGCCATGTAGTTATGTTGTGTAAAAATGCACACAACTCAAGACTGATAGGCAAGATGTCGTTTAATATATTCAAAGTTGTGCCAAACATCTAATCTACCCAGGGTGTATCAACATGGGCAGGGCCGTGGCAAGATTCTTAACATAAGAATGTTCCCCCATTTATTGGGTGAAAATAGTGTTGAAAGTCTTATACTTTTAAAATGTTATATTTTTTTTAGGTTTTTAAAAATATTTTATGGGCTGATACACTGGACCTGCTGTTTGGGTTGTTGTGAAAGGTTTCACACTCATGAGACGTCTGGCCAGTGTCAAGGCGGCAAAATGAGGTCTCAGGTGAAGTTACAGCAAAGTATTTTCTACAGACAATGAAGTGTGAGTTGCAAAAAAAAAAAAAAACATTATGCAACTACCATGTTCAGCATTGTGCATTGATTTTAATAGTGGTTGTTTTTTACTATTAAATTTTAATAGAGCTGAATGAGGTGCAGTGATAAACACATTCCCATGACATCGAGTAGGCCTACCTGTGAACGGAGGGCACTGCAAGTCTCTTTGTTGTTACTTTTCAGTTACTTAGTAGTAGCAACATTAGTTGTACAAGCACAGCAGAATATTTCAATTGAGTTTCTGTGTAATAGAGGCAAGGGTTTCTCTGTAAATATTTCTCTCTTCCTGAGCAGTGATGGACAAGAAACACAGCAATTCACCTTTAATACAAGAGTCACTTCTTTGGATTTTGTTTTTACGGTCACCATGGTTTCTGTTGCAGCCAATATCTGCCAAAAGTGATATTACGCTCGTTTTATTCATCACCAGCTGATTTCCTGCATATCTGAAGGACATTGTATTGCGTGCACCTCAAAGAGCGAACAAACCGCTTTGTGTTATGCTGAGAGACGTATTTCTGTTGGAATCTGTATTGGAGCTGAATTCCCGAACCCGGCAAACGTTCAGCAGTTTTATCAGCCAGTGATTGTCATGATTGCGGGCGGCTCGGGTACGGAAAAGTGGCATCAGGTACAAAAAGGGTGAGACGACCCACTGGCAGCTCCGAGACAGATGGGGTTTTAATCAAAACAGAAAACACTACAAACACAAAACCAAAAGGACCACGCGGGGTCAAAAAACTAAAGGGGATAAATAAAGACTACATATTACAAAACAAAAACTAGGAAGGAAAACAGAATGCAGATCTAACCAAAACTAACCAAGACAAGCAACAATACACTCATAGACACACCAACTACTACAGAACAATGAACCACTAAGGAATGAAACAGAAGCAGGAACTAAAATACTAAAGGGGTAACGAGACTAACACAGGACAGGTGAGACTAATTAACAAAGACCAGGGAAACAGGGCACAGGTGAAACTAATAAACTCAAAAGGAACTGATAACAGGGAAACTAAGAACTAACCAAGGAAACATAAACCAACACTAGGGAATTACAAAAAGGTAAAGACAAGCAGGGGCACAAGGAACAAAACCAAATACAAAAACCACCAGATACAATAACTAGAAACACTAAGGAGCAACATACAAAAACAGGAGGCAGGATTCGAACATAGGACAGAAGGGTACACAGACAACCACATGCTCAACACATTGAGCCACATGACCAGACAGGTAACAGGGGAGAACAAAGACTAACATAAAGAACGGGATGACCAGCAACGCCTGCTGGTCAAACGGGGAAGGGACACGGTAGGACCACAGCAGGGGCTGACCCTGACAGTGATACTCTCGCCTCACCGTGAATGTTATTACACACAAAGGATTCTGTAGGTCTTTGTTTGACATAACCATACTTCAATAAACAGAAAGTGAGGGACACTGGCCCAAAAGCAGGTTTACCTCTGTTTGTGCTGATGTTTAGCAAACATAACCCAGGGCCCAGCCCCAGCTCCCCCTTCCCTCTATTCCCCACTTTGGTTTCTTTACGCCCAGCTCATCTTTGAAGCCATAATTGATCGTTTAAGCAATTTGTCTTTCCTCACGTTATCTTCATTCATCCCTCTGCCACTCCCACTTTCTGTCCCTTGATCCCGTTTTTCCCGCTTTGAAGCCGCCACCGGTCTTTCAGCTGTCTTTCCCCCCCCCCAGCTGTCTACATCGCCCACCCACCCAACCCCCAGGGCAGCTCACCTCACAAATTAAATGGCAGAAATGTAGCATTTGTGCGAGATTGTTCGGGGAAGCTGTTCTTATGGGTTTCGGTTTTTACGAGTGGTAGTTTGAGAAGCTGAAGGCTGACAAAAAAGCTGCCAGGTATGATTCTCAGAGGCCTGATAGTACTATATTGCTGTGAAAGGCACATGCTGTGCCATTACCTTTGGATACATACACTGTAAGCTTATGTAAGCTTACGTAGCTCTTGGGTCTGCCAAACTATATACCGGCAGATTGAAATGCTCTATTTATTTTCCATAAGCGCTTGATGGGTACTATGGAGCCAGTGGCAAGAGAATTGATATCAGAAGGTCCGGTCATACAAGTGACAGCCAGGTAAAGCTAAACACGGTTGAGCCAGCTGTCAAGGGGGCCAGTGTGCGATTTGGTGGATCAGGACAGATCAGAAGGTCATCGGTTCAGATTCCACCATTGGAAGAGTAATTTTGACACATTACCCATGACCAAGATTCTTAACCTCTAATTGCTCCAAGGATGGTAATGAATGCATGTTACTTCTATGCAAATACTTAACAAAGCATACGTATTATGTAATAAAAACCTGTTATTTTGACGTTATGGGGACCATTTTTCACTTCCCCCATAATGATCTGTGAATGCAATCAAAAAACTAAAAATGGCAAAAGTCTCATTTTGTTTGGTTACTTAAGATTAAGGTTAGGGCTGGTAAGGGGTTAAGGGTATAATATAATATAAAATATATATATTTTTTCTGCCTTGAACATAATTGGTGGTATTGTCTGTGGCTTGTGTTGGATTCCATCCCTTCCAGGGCTGAATTGCTGGCGGGGGCCATTCTGACATCCCCCAGTGATTTTTTTTTTTTGCTTTCAGGTCACGCTTCACGACTCCTTGTGTATTTCTTCGATCTCTCTGTCCACAGCAGCCCCTGTGGCATCCTGCAAATAATTATCCCAGTTTACTGCCATGGCAAAGGCGTCCAAGAACTTTCCAAAGGTTAAATCACACATCAAAGACCTTTTTTTACCTTCTCCCCCACAAAATAAGAAGTGACATCATCTTTCCTTTTCAGGTCAGAAGAGTGTGTAGGAATAACTGTCTGTGTAATTAATACATTAAAGGAAGTGTCTTTTTTTTCTCTCAGAAGCTGGGGGTGGGAGGAGTGAGCGCGGGTGTCCGGGCCGGAATCTGTTTTATGAAGTGAGAGTGCTCGGGCCCCCGGGGCAGGCAGGTGTCGGCCCAGTTTTCTTCTCGTTTCTTTTTTCACTCTGCCGATGGAGAGGCCGTCACCACTTTCTCGGTGCTACTTGAAATGCTGAGCTTAGCTTGACATATTCCTGCTTAACCTGCCCTGACTGGGAGACCCCACCCCCTCCATAAGTCAGTGTGTGAACAGCCTTGCCTTACTTTTCACATAACCCCCTCCCCCTCGCCGAGTACTAAATATGGGATCTGTTCTCCCTTTCCCTGCCATCTCCTTGCTAACGGCTGTCAAAATTGCACTGAGCTGCCACATTTCTTTACCCCCCCTCCCCCCCCGATATGACTTCAGGTGAGCCCTTACTTCATGAGCCCCCCCCCCCAATCACTTAAACACCTGTATCTATTAGTGTGGTTCACTGGGGTCGACTGGCTCCAATCCCACAGTTGCACAGGGGCGATTGAGCCTTTCTGTGCCCTCAGAGAATGTTGATGTTAATGGCACCCATCCTGGTGCTTTGTTCCAGAGGCAGTGGCAGGGTGTGTCCTGGGCACGCACAGGTCTGGCCTGCGGCCACAGAGGAAATGCATGGCACCACACCAAGGTGTGCCAAGGTGGAGTCGTTGCTCCCTACTGTTCCCTGCTTCCCCCCCCCCATGACTCGTAAATTTGCTGCTCATAGCAACCCTTGCAGGCAAGGAGAAACTTTAACTAGTAAACTCATGACAGAAGGCCAACGGCAGGAACACAGAGCAGTCAGTTGTGGTCTAAGTTTTGTTCTGCATGATAAATTACCGGGATAAGTGCTCCGAACCGAAAGCTCCAAGTTCCCAGGTCACAACTGGAGGCCCGGTGTGTATCGCCTCTCAATCAGCCAGTAACCACTGTTTTATTATTGGCTGATTGAGAGGTCATCCCAAAAACGCGCACCCACACTGGCCCTCCGTGGAACAGGTTCCCCACCTCTGCTTTAAGTGGTTAGTCGACTAGGAGGATCTCCCCCATCATCTAGACGGCATGAGGAATGTTCATTGCTGGTGTCTTTGTGTGGAAAGCACACAATGCCTCAGACACGCATGGCTGGGGGGCGGGCTCAGCCATTGCTGTGGCACAGACAGATTGCAGTGGATTTCTTTATGGTGTTTTGTTTATGGTTTAGTTATTTTCTGTTGAGGCTTTTTGTTTGTTCACATCTCACTAAGTGTTTAATTTGTATGCATCTCGTGTCTGTATACCATCCCCCCACCCCCCCGGAGCCCCTTTAAGCTGTCTCAGTAGAAAATGGCATTTCCACTTTCCAGATGTGTGCCTTCGCTCCTTGGAGTCCTGCTTGCTGCACTTCTAATCCGTCACGGCAGCATGGTGCCGTGACTCAGATCCGCTGTACGCTCGCACACCACTGAGTTTTCCCGCAATTGTACTCCACACCGCTGGTCACTAGGGGTGGGGCGGCTCTTCGGCAGGCGCAGAAAAACATCACGCGGGAGTAAAAAGCTGGACCCAAGACAAAACCCCAGATGCCAGGCTGGGGCCTGATTTCGGCTGCTTACCGATAAGCAAAGTTGTGGGATCCCCACCAAGTGTGAAATACCTGCCGTCCAGTAGACAAGATGGGCAGGTTTTGGCAGACGCTCATGATGGGGATGCGTGCAGAGAGCATTCACACTCAGCCGCTTCCCATCTGCCTCCGGCCATCATTATTTATGCCTCTCCCCTCCCCAAATATTTGTGCATTGTGGGTCTGTGGCAGTGCTGTGTGGGGAAGGACCTTGAACGCCTGGCCCAATGAGGTGCACGTTCGAGTGCAATGGTCGCTGGGATTTTCCGGAATGGCCGGCGCTGGGTGACTCAGTGCCGGCGGAAGTCCGCCAGAAGCAGCCGTAACTCGCTGAGAGCTTTGGATGCGAAGATGCTGTTTTTCCATGGTTAGATTTACTCCCGCTTACTCACGCTGTTTTTCTCACCCACGAATTCAGAGCTAGCAGCCCCCCGGCCTCCCACCTAACAGCTTGCAGTAAAAATGCTTCGGTTGTTGTGACAGAGTTGGATCTGTGCAGATTAAGTGGGGTTATGGACGTTTTTTTGATTGTGGGTGCTGCAGCTGTTGTGTCAATACGGCCGTGGGCTGGCAGAGAGTCTCTGTTTAAATGGCTGGCCGTACGGGGTGCTGCGCTTGGATGCAGGGTGCCCCTCTGACTCAGCCTGCCTTCATCACTGTGGACTGAGTTCATTCACTCTGAAGCGTGATCTGTTTTCTGAAAGCCTGCCAGAGCTCTCCCACACTGGTGGCCTGTGTGTCGGAGTCCATCCTGCCCTGGACAGCTGCCCCGGCAGGCGGACGGCGAGGACTCGCGGATGAGTCCTATTCATGCACACAGTCGCGTTTCTGCGTTAGCGGGACCTGGGGTTAGTGCCTCAGCTATATTAGACACTGAAAGCCAAACATGGACAAAGCTTTTACTTTAATTAACAAACTGGTGACGTTGAAAAATAAAGTTGTGTGGATACCTGTGGAAGCAACAAATGAGTTTCATGCATTGCCTTTTTTTAAAATCGGTTAAATTAATGGCACCCACCTCACTCCACATGCACACACACAAACACACATGCCTATAAACCACAACGTATGTATTCAGATCTCTGCAGGGACTCTTCATTCAGGTTTGTATTATAGGGACCTGAAAAATGTCCCCACAAAAATGTCCCCACAAGCTAAAGGTTTTTTTTATGATATTGTGGGGTCATTTGGTCCTTATGATGTGGTAAATGCAAAACCTTGCCCCCCCCCCCCTCCACACACACACACACACATAGAGCTGCCTTCCCATCCCTTTCTCCATGGCTGATGCAGCCCCAGTCAGCACACAGGCATCCTATTCCCCTGTGTTTTCATGTGTGTCAGCTGTCTGCCCCCCCCCCCCCCCCAGATGGAGAGCTGCAAAACAGGCCCCTTTGTGCCTCTCCTCAGTGCAGCGCTAACAGCCTGTTGCGAGAGTGCCTTTGGGGAGCTCGGCGTTCGGCGCCTCCCTTTCTTTTGCTGTCGTCTTCCTGCCTTGGAAGCAGTCCTCCGGCACTCCTGCCTTCCCCAGAGCTAAGAACATGGCCCTGTCTTGACATGACCGTAGATGTTGATCCATCCTTCACTGCCTCTTCTCACGCCTCTCACCCTTCCAGCCGTGGGAAAACCGCGCGGTCACCCTGTTGATGAATTAACAGTGCATCAGTCTGGTTTATGAGTGAGGATTTCACGAGTCTTAAAGACCGTTTGTAAATTCATTTTTGATGTTTCTCTTTCTGGCAGGTATGTCTGTAGCAGTCAGCGTAGGTCCAGACAGGTAACTAGGTGTGTTGTAATCGTCATGGTGACGATGAAGCGGTCTCTACTCACCACTGTCGTCGCCGTCCTTGTGGCTGCGTCGACTGCACAGGACAACGAGTGGCACTTTAACTCAGGTGAGTGGCTGGGGCAGCTTTGGGCATCTCTGTGCTCATAGGCTCCTCCCCCAGGCGTGTGTCATTGGGCAGTTGTCTTGTTACTTTGTACGTTCTGCTCACGTGTCTAGGATACCAGCTGCTGACCACATACTTCAGACAATGTCCAGATAGAACGAAATCAAACACGCTGGCGAGAACAGTCTGTCACATACTTAAAATGACACCGCCTTGTTTGTTCTGTCTCATGCCACAACACTATAACACGCAGAATGTTCTCGATGCAGCGGACCCACATACAGTATGCTTATTTGCAATCTCTACCCATGAATTGGAAGTTGTCTGCACTTTTAAAATCTCGAGGTGACCAGTCATAAATGTGGATAACATTGCCCAAGTCCATTGAGTCTTCCTACTAAGGCACGCATGATTGTAAAGCCTTTTGTATTTTTTTCTGTAACTTTTCAGGGCACTAGTGACACAAGAACACACATGTATTGTGTAGAAAATGTGGACAGTGGGTGGCATCAGAACAAACGATAAAGTTTGCCTTGCGGGCCATAGACAGGTGATCACCACTCATACAACGCTGATTTCGTTTGAAGTATGTGGTCAGCTTTCGGGTGCCCTCACATCCCAGCCCTGATGCTTCCTGTCTCAGGAGACCACGTGCTAGTGGCTTGTCAGGTTGGCTTGCATCACTTTGCACTGGTGCCAGGAGTCACATGGAGGAAATAGATACAATGGGACAGGATGTTGCCCAAAAAGGTGGTTAAAGGATTGCACCCGGGGTGGCTGCAGTGAGGGGCGTCCCCAGTGACACCCAATGGTGTCACCGTGCTGTGCTGATGAAACCCACACGGGGGTCATGCTGTCCTGGCGGGGGGAGCGAGGCCGGCAGCCTGAGAAACCGAGAGGCGTTTCTGGCAGCAGGGTGATGTAATGAAACTGGCACCTGTCTGTAAAAGAGGGAAGAGTGTTGGGGGGGGGGGGGGGGG